ATCATGCAATACACCACCAATCTGGTGGATAAACTGGAGCAGGTGAGTCGGTTGCCCCGCCTGTGTTGCCATGCTCCTTAAGCAGCGCACCTTGGACTGGATGGCTGATCATATTGAACTGTGATAGTTCAAAGTTGAGAACCCAGGGGATGAGACGGTGACAGATGAGGTCGCAGCGAGTGCCTATGTGGAGCAATTTGGACTGGAAGTCTTTGGTCGCGCTGAAGCTGCCATGAACGCCAACAAAGTCACAAAGTGAGCCCTTGGAGTGCCACACAAAACCACAGACGACTGACTCTGCTCAAAGGCAAACAGCAGATACATTCCAAGCAGCAGCTACTTTTCTCGAATTATGCTCAATTTGGGGTACCGACCCGGAGATAGCTGGGCGCATCAAGTTCGCCAAATTTCACGCCCTTCGCATCGTAAAGGCCTTCAAAGCTGGCGAAGACCCCAACGAGACGAATCCCGCACCGAAGCAAGAAGATGAGCTCATTGACGATCCCGAGGTGCAAGCATTCGACGAGTCGGTCGCAGAGCATGCCTCCAAACCAACACAGCCATCGATCGAAGAGATCCCAGATGAGTCAGACCGTCTTGGACGAGATCTAGCGCGCAAATCAACACTAGACGAGTCGCTTCATCCATCCCGCACTTCATCAGCACCCCGTCCAACGGTCACCTCCGAGCCTGAGATCCCCTCCGTCCCAAGCAACGCACCTGGCTCTCCCCCTCAGTCAATGGATATCGACAACTCCGGTCCAGGCCTAGAACTCCCAGATACCCCAGCAACGATTGGAGGACCCTCCTCAAGACCAGGCCCTATCCTCCCAGATACCCCCACAGCCTTCCAATCATTCCCTCCACCATCCACCAACCCATCCGTAAACCCGGCTTCTTTCTACGATCCCTCCAACAACGTTAGCGCGCATCTTCCACCCCCGGCTGCTCCGCCAGCTGCACCGGCCCCAGCTGCTTACACACCTTCCGCGCCTGCACCTTATGTACCCCCTCAGCCGTCCCATGGAATAGATGATAACACGGTTCAGTTGGCGCAGAAGCATGCTCGCTGGGCTGTCTCTGCGTTGACATTTGATGATGTTGATACCGCCGTTAAGGAGTTGAAGAACTCGCTCAAGTTACTCGGTGCGTCGTGATGTGGTTTCGTATGGATCTTATTGCTATTTGCTGTGGATATACCTTTCATAACTAGCGAGGCATCTCATACCGCCTCGAACAGTATGAGACGCTAATTTAATACGTTTTTGTACCTTTCTCAATCAAGTAAGAAGCTAGGGATCCTGCATGCCCCATGTATCGGTGAGCAAGCTCGGCCGACATCAACGCGGTGCCCGCATTTGGAGCTTGAAGAATTGGCACATCATTGCCGTCTACAGTGTCGTGTATCCAACTACTTTGTCCTCCCGATTCCTGGTTCCTGGCCGATTGTTTTTGCTGGACCTCCACGTTCTGTATACTCGCTCGGCATCACTCAGTGATAAGAGGTTGAATTGTATGCCATAGCTGCGGACGAGTTTCACACAATCTGGAGCTTGAACGTGATCAGGTAAATCAGGTCAGCCAGTTCAAAGCGCTGAGATCATTACAACTTCCCTGGGTTGAGGATCGCTGCCTCGAGGTCATTGGTTCACTAAGTCCTTCTCGGTGATACGTCCGGCCAACGTTAGTTTGGCCCCCGATCTGGCGTGAAATTGCTGCCATTGGCGCAAATCACGAGGAATTATGAAGCTGGATAAGCCCTGCGAAGAATTCTCCCTTGGGGACGACTGGATCTTGTCAAACTCGATTTGATGCGGAACTTGGGCAATGTCCCGAAATGGGTTCGGAGGAAAGGTAGATTCTTCAGTGTTCAGGAATACGTATTGGAATGTCTTGCGTACTGATATGTCGAAAGTTTTGTCAGTAGACGCAGTGGATGATTAGCTCAATTATCATTGTAATGGCTGTCTTTGTCGTTGGCGTATAATTCCCGTTGGCATTGGCCATGCTTCGATATGCTTCGTAGGTGGCCTCACGGAAGGCCATTCAGCGGAAAGCTCGCTAGAAATGTATGCGGATTAAGCCATGATATACTGCCCTGATTATTACGAGGAGAGAGAATTATGTCTACATGTCTACGTAGGCCCCTGACTCACCTCATCCATGGATATACAGTAAGGGAACCAGATAAGCGGAGGCTTAGCATCTCGGGCGATCGGAACCCAGTACCATGGGACGGTAGACGGAGTATAGACAGCAGACTACTCCGTACTCCGTTAGGTACTTATTCAAAACCGCTAAAATCACTAACTCGCACTATATGCCCCCCGACGTCACAGATTCAATTCTCTCAAACTCTCGAAAATTGATTGTGCCCACTGTAACCCACTTGGTTCTAATAGTCAACGGCCTCGAGCGGGCTTGGCAGGGGATTTCAAGGAACTTTTAATCCCCCTCTCCTTTCACTTTCCCCTATTCACTCTCCTGAACTTGCGGGGTTGCACACAATGGAAAAGCCTGCTGTTTTGATTGTCGGTGGTCTTGGTATGTGTCTGCTAGTTTCCCCTCGCGTTCAGACTAACCCCTCTTAGGCTTCATCGGCCGCCATCTGGCACTATACCTCCACGAAAACGACTTGGCCTCCGAGGTACGATTAGTCGACAAAGTCCTGCCCCAGTTGGCTTGGCTGGCCCCAGAGTTTGCAGAGGCCTGTTCCAAGGATAAATTCGTCCAGGCTGATGCCAGTCGTGAACGTAAGAGACACACCCACTTTCTCCCACCCTGAGCCATCCTCACCAAAACTCTCTCCAGAACACTTCCCGCGCATTTTCGACCGAGCCAACGGCAAACAATTTGACTACGTGATCAACTGCGGCGGCGAATCACGGCACTCCCAACCAGACGATGTCTACGAAGTCCGCAGCTGCGCACTGTCCATAGCGCTGGGCAAGGAGATCGCGCGCCGGGGCATCCCCGCCTTCATCGAAACCTCCACCGCCCACGTCTACAAAGGCGGCTCTACACCGCGCAAGGAAACCGACAAACTCGTCCCGTGGCACAAGCTCGCCGACTGGAAATTGAAGGCGGCAGAAGAATTGCGCAAGATTCCCGGCCTGCAGTACTGCGCCATGCGCCTGCCGCACGTCTACGGCGCCTACGACCCAGGCTACTTCGCCACGGGTATCTGCCTGTCAGCCGTGCACGTCGACCTCCAACAGGACCTGGTACTTCTGCACACTAAGGACTTGAAGGTGAACACGCTGCACGTCAAGGACGCCGCCAGCGCGCTGTTCGAGGCGGCCAAGTGGCGCGCCCGCGTGGGATACATCGACCCGAAGGAAGGGCCTGTCGCTTTCAACGTCGTCGACCACAACGACACACGACAGGAGCACGTCGCTAATGCGCTGACTGAGGTGTTCGGTCTCAAGGTTACGTTTGTTGGATCGCTTGCTTCCCAGCTTGCCAAGCTGAACCTCGACGATGTCGTCGATGATATGAATGAAATCAGTCTGCAGACTTGGGCTGAGCTCATTGAAAAGGCCGGCATCACACGACCAGGACCGATCAGTCCCTTCCTGGAACGCGACGTCCTCAAGGACCAGGATATGTCGATTGACGGGTCGAAATTCGAGGCTGAAACTGGCTGGAAGCCGAAGTATCCCAACTTTGGCGCCGACAGTATTCGCGAAATCGTCGACAGTTATAAGCGCATGGGCTGGTGGCCATAAGGATTTTCGTTTTTTACCTTTCTTTTTGATCTTTCTTCTCCTTTTAAGATATCCCGTGTGTCGGTTATTTTACCTTTTCTCTTTCTTTCTTCTTCTTTCTTCCATGATTCGTTAACGGTCCACCATATCCGATGAGGAAAAACTCGGTCATCGCATCACATTGTGTCTGAAAAGAAAGCGTTGAATCCACACGACACGACCCTATTTATGATCCCGTCCCTACACTCTCCTGCATCTTTCTCTACCTTACCACCCAGAGAAGCAATTTATCTGCCAGGCAGATCAGGGGTGTCCAGCATTTCATTTCCAGATCTGGATCTGCCTTGTACTGTAATCGATAATCCTTCTCGTTGGGTCTTCTCTTCTCTGGATCTTATTTTCTATGCATATATGCTTTCAGTTCTCTCTCTCCTCTTACTTATTTTGCATTGGCCTGCGTGGCAGCATATTGAGCCCTTTCCATTTCTATAGTTCCAGTTTTGGTTTAGTATCGCTCTGTTATACATATTTGGTAGTAGTGATATTTGAGATACTCCATGGTTATCTTTCTACATGTACGTACCAAGGGTTGCATAGATAATTAAAACAAGTGACCACATGGCCTCTTCGGCTTATGAATTTGATTGCAGGGTATGAGCTCCAGTCCCACTCGTTTCATACATGCATTGGCGCTGCAGGTATGTTGTGCAGGTCCCACAGACGGGCTATATCCACTACAAAGTACGTACAGTACAGAAGTACAATAACTTATTTACATAATTTGACTTGCATGGATAAGATTGAACAGAAATGATAGAATGCATTGCTATCTTTGTATCAGAGATCTACTAGTTGACCGAAAAGACGAAGGAGAATGGACAGAAATGTGCAAATGCCCGAATCCCATGCATATGCGAATATGCATCTAAGGAAGCCACCAAGCCAAAATGCGATTCAATGGTGTCTTTTCCTCATTTTCTTCTTGGGGATTTTCTTTCTTTTTTCTTCCTGGGATGCGACTGCGACCATCCCAGGCATCCATACCTATCTTACTCACTCCCACCCTGTCGTGCAAGCCCGTTCTGAGCTGACACAAATCGTTGCAATCTCAATGTAGGCATTTCTTTTCAAGCATGGTGTAAAAAACAAGGGGTAAGGCAAATGGTGGAGAGTTATAGAACAGAATGGAGAGAAAGGCAACCGCTCTGCTATAGAGACTGCGAAAACCGAAAATATTGTACGAGAATGTAATGTGCGCGGAAAGTAGGACCTGCGCGGGAGGTCTGTGGGCGTTTAGAATTCCCAGTCTTCCTCGACAGACTTGATGGCCCACTCGAACTTCTCGCGCAGGGCCTTGGAGAAAAATTTCTCAATGGGGACATTGAACTTCTTGCTGAAGACGACCGTTAGGCGAGGGTCGATATAGTTCTGGAAAAGATATTAGCAGATGATCAAATATGTAGGTGAACTCAACTCACAATCTTAGAGGTACCCAAGGCAACCTCCTTGTTATCTTCCTTGTCCTGGGCTTGGACAGACATGGTCTCAACACGTTGGTCGATCTTGGCGATCGCAGCTTCAAGCTTTTCGACGGTGGCACCCCGGGCTTCGGCCTCGACCTTGCCTGTCTTGTTCTCTTTCTTGAACTTCTTTTCCATCTCCTTGACGGCCTGCAGACGTTCCTCGAGCTCTGTTGCCTTCATTTCTTTCTCGCCGTCGGCAACGCGCTTCTCATTATCTTTCTCGAACTTCTTCTTGATTTTCGTGGTCTGCTCTTCCATCAGGAAAGCTTGGTGTTCATTGATCCACTCTTGGTCGAGATCTTCGTCAATTTCGAAGAAGGCAGCGCCCTTCTTCTTCTTCAGAGTTGGGTCCAAGTCGAGCATTTGCTGCTTCAGACGCCACTTCTGATAGCGGAGCCCCTTGATCTGTTGGAAGGTGGATTAGTTTTTTGCACATATTGTCATCAGGGAAGTTTCATCTTACCCGTTCGCCCATCTTTTCCATTGCGTTAGCATGGCCGGCGGTGACTGTTCGCTTGTGGTTACACAAGATGGCAACCTTGCGGTTGGCGTCATTATACGCCTTCACCTTCTCGGCAATAGTGCTACCAGTCGTCTTGATTTCCTTGAGCACAGAGCCCATTGTGTAGGATGCGTTGTAGGTACGGAAGACCTTAGCAGTCAAACCAGGCATGTAGTTCTGAAGATGCTTGTTAAGAGCAGAGGTCTGTCATTCGTTAGCAATATACATCTGACACGGTGAAGATGGAAACATACCGTCAAGCGATCGAAAATTTCGTCACCGTTCTTCTTCGGGGCTTTCTTGAAGATCTTCAGGTTCTTGAAGACTTGCAGGTCGACCTTGACTTCATCGTAGAACCGAATACTATCTTTACCCAAGAAGTCGAAGACAACGGTCTGTGGGGGCTTCAGCGTAACATTCTCATATTTGAGAGAACAGCAGCCGACAGTTTCAGCCTCGTCCTCGCCCTTCTCGTTTCCAGCACGCAGAGCAAACTGATCAATGAGATAGACTGCCGTGGCCTTTTGACGCTCCACCATCATGTCGTGCTTCAGGTTCTTTTCGTAGTCCTTGCGGATCTTCTCAATGTGTTTCTTGAGTTCACGGGCTTTCTCGAACTTCTTGTAGTCACTTTGTCCCTTGACATCAGAGTTGGCGGCCAGCATGACATACTTGTAATTGCCATTGATGTTTTCCTGCCACATGGCAAGCCACGTGCCTTCCTGGTCGTGCTTCACTTCCTTCCATTGGTGACCCTCAGGTGGGGGAGGAACCTTCGCATCCTTGCCAATGTTGATTGTGATCTGCTCAGGTTGCACACGAGTCTTGACGCGACCGGTCTTGGGGTGCTCGCCACGGCCTCGGAACAAAGAAGGCGGTTCCACACGGAAATTGCCCACCTTTTGCTTGCGACCATCCCAAATACAGTACTGGTACGCAGCTTCTTGTTCATCCTTTTCAGCCTTGAGGCGCTTCTTCTCTGCTGGTGGCAGGTTCCGCTTCTCCTCACGCTGGGCGTCATAGAATTCGAAGATGGGCTTGAAGTCGCACTTGCTGAACTCCTTAATATCGATCTTGTTGCCGTTAATGTCCTTTGCTCCACCGGTCTTCTTTATGACATCCTTGAAGTCGGAGAAGAAGTTCTTCTGAAAGACAGGGTTTTCCACATTGTGAGTCGAGTTCAGCATGGTTCCGAAGAAGCCAGCAACTTCTTCGGCCTCGGGTTCGAGAACGACCGGAACACCATCATACTTCATCTTGACGTTCTTTGGAAGCAATTCATACTCAGGAGGGAACACAACACCGTTGTGTTCAAGAGTGGTCCACTTGATGGTTCCGTCACCCTTGCTCTGGTCCTCCCACCAGCGGTATCCCTCCTCCTCGTCATTGTCCTCGGCGTCCTGACTATCTGCCTTCACTGGAGTAGTCTTGGCCTTGCCCTTCTTTGCAGCGGCTTCAGGCTCCTTCTTGACGGCCGTTTTGGTCGCGGGCTCCTTCTTGACCCCGTTGGCCTGTTTCTTAGGCGCAGGCTTGGTCTCCTTCTTCACCGCGGGTTTGCGCGCATCCTTCGCCGCAGTTGCTTCAATCTTCTTCTTCTGGGCGGTGAGTTTCTTGTCGAGCGGCACATCCGAGTCGGAGTCCTCTCCGATGGCGGTTTCGTTGGCCTTCGGAAGCTTTCGTCCATTGCGGGCCAGTGGGACATCTTCATCCGTCTCAGGATCCTCATGTTTCACAGAGGTGCGCCGGCGTTTGCTCTACCGAATGGTTAGATGTGTAACCTAGAGCGACGGTAGTGTCGCAAGCGGGGGAGAAAGCTCGTCCCGCAATGGGGGTAGGCGTACCAAAGGTTCATCTTCTTCACTGCTCTCTGCGTAAGATTTTTGCTGGGTGATACTTGTGCGAGATTTGCGCTTAGCAGCCCCAAGCACATCCGTTTCCGCGTCTTCCATCTTCACATCTTTGTCTTCCACGGGACCGAATCGAATAGACACACCAGGATCAACATGACCATTGGTGACTGGAGAGCTCGACTTCGGCATTTTAGCGTCGGGAGACTTCGGAGAAGCTAAATTGAGAATTGGGAATGTTAGTGAAGCTCAAAGGTTGCGGCTGAAGTACGAAGTGACGTCAAAGCGGGATGAAATACAAGACTGAGAATGGCTGGTAGAGGGAGTATAGACATTTAAAGATGCAGTCGAGAGGCAATGTTTTAGTCACTTTTGGGTAAAGTGAAGGATTGCGACCAAAGAACGAGGTGTATGAGACCGCATCAGCTGAAGCAGAACTTACACTTAGCACGGCCATTCGCGCGCGCGAGGGGCATATCGTCCTCTGACGAACTCATGGTATTCTGAAAAGCCGTGATCGGACTTCGAGGATATATTGAATAGAATCGACGTTGTAGTGAGGGGAGGAGTCCTCCTGCGCCGAGTCGGGCAAATCGAGCCGGCTGATAGATGAATGAAGGCAAAGAAATACTGACCAATGAAGAGCCAGAGAAGTTTTAGAAGATGAGCTGCATCAATAGTGCAGCTGATGGAGGGGATAATGCGGGTGGAATCGGAAGAGAAGAGATGTAAGATGAGAAACGAAGAGAAGGAAAGAGGAAAAGAGGTTGGGAGTTTGGGGGAATGGGAGGAATGGAATGGGAAAACGAGGTCTTGGACAGTTGATGGCCTGAGGCGTCAAGGGTAACGAGAGCGTAACGTGTAAATAATGCCTGAGGCATAAATATTACATAAACAGTGGCCTGAGGCCCATTGCGCCGGAAGTCGGAATGGCTCGCCGTAGTTGCTTACCACTTTGGGTTTAGCGGCGCAGCCGGGACAGAACCAGGAGTTCTGAACTTCGCACTTCCCGACGGCCCTCTCTACCTTCGTCACCCCCTCCGCAGCTACTCCCCTGCTCATCTACTCTCTTCTCTACATCTCTCCCATAATGTTCTCCCGTGCCGTCCGCCCGGCCCTGCGGGCTGGTGGTGCTGCCATCGCTCGGTAAGTTCTCATCCGAAACGTGCCAGGGCCCTTCCACCCGACGTACCCCGACCACTACCTCGACATCAACAATCTGGCGAAATATCGATGTGAAACGGGAACAATGACGACAATTGCTAACAGAGAGATTCAAAAGTCCTGCGCCCGCCAATGCCGCCACCTTCGCGACTCTGCGTGAGATCGAGGGTCGTCTCAAGTCCATCAAGAACATCGAGAAGATCACCAACACCATGAAGATCGTTGCTTCCACCCGTCTCACTCGTGCTCAGAAGGCCATGGATGAGTCCCGTGTCTACGGTAAGACCTCCAACAACGTCTTCGAGCAGGCCGAGACCAAGGCCCTGGAGGACAAGAAGACTCTGCTGGTCGTTGCCAGCTCCGACAAGGGTCTTTGCGGTGGTATCCACTCTGGTCTGAGCAAGGCCACTCGCCGCATCTTGGAGGCCAACCCCAACGCCGATGTTGTCATTCTCGGTGACAAGGCCAAGGCCCAGCTGTCCCGTGTCGCCGCCGACAATATCCTTCTGAGCTTCTCCAATGTCTGCAAGGACATCCCCAGCTTCGCCGATGCCCAGGCCATTGCCGACCAGATTGCTCTCCTCCCCGAGAACTACGCCAGCGTTCGCATCATCTACAACTCGTTCGTCAACGCTCAGACCTACGAGGCTACCTCCATTGAGGCCTACTCCGAGGAGGCTATCACCCAGTCCGGTGAGTGGATATCACGAAGAGACAAGTCAAGTCCATGCTGACGATCTGTACAGCCAACATCTCCTCCTACGAGGTTGACGAGGAGGCTCTGTCTAGCCTCCGCGAGTACGCTCTTGCCAACAACCTCTACTGGGCTATGGCTGAGGGCCACGCCTGCGAGATCTCCGTATGTGTTATGGACTCTTTCCTATCATTCATTGCTAACTGATTTATCAGGCTCGTCGCAACGCCATGGAGAACGCCTCCAAGAACGCTGGTGAGATGATCAACAAGTATGTTCCTCCTCTTCATGCAAAACTCCATTCTAACAACCTCTCAGGTTCCAGATCTTGTACAACCGTCAGCGCCAGGCCGCCATTACCGGTGAGCTGGTTGAGATTATTACCGGTGCCACCGCCAGTGCGGAAATGTAGAAGCTTGCTTCTGCGGGAAGAAGTCGCTTCTAGTGTAGACTTCATATTAGATCGACCTTCAGCTTGTGTAAAATCAGAGTCAATCCATTTCAATTTCATATGTACACTGGTCGTCAGACCTCTGTCTTTTTGTTCTGGTCAATAGACAATATCATTACTGACCTTACACTTGTCCACGTTGAGACTCCCTCCTCGTCGATGTGTTATCTTTTCATTTCTTTTCTCGCGATCCTCGCTTTCTTCCTGCTTCTTATGTTTGCTGCGCTTTCTATCCCTCACGTTTTTACGCTCTTCTCTCACTTCCACCGTCTTTAGTTGTTTCACCAAGGTAAGTCTTGCCGGCGTTGGTCCCAACTACCGACGCCCATGTTTGCTCCTTCACTTCGAGCCTTGTCCTCTCTATCTTCATCACATTCTCCTTCATCCGGCTCACTCCCATCTCCACGTACGGAGTATCTTGACCGCAACCATGCCCATCATCAACATTACTGTTGACAGCTATGCCGTCCTGGGTGTCAGCCGAGATGCCGACATCAAGGAGATTAACGCTGTCTACAAGCAGCTTGCACTGAAGTCGCATCCCGACAAGACCGGTGGCACTTATGCTGCTACCGAACGTTTTCGCGAGGTACATAAATCCAACCTGAGCTCTTCACACGACGCATACCTCGCTGACGCGGTTCCTACAGGTCAAAGATGCGGTTGAAACCCTTCGAGACCCTGTGCGCCGAAGCCAACTCGACCGCTCACTAAACAACCCCAAGTGGGCTCGATGCGGGTCTGAAGGCGATGAGACTGCAGGGGCATACTATGGCAATCCTTACTCAAGGAAGAAAGGTCGTAACAGAAGGAGCCATCGCAATGCCGCACCCAGTCCCGAAAGTTCTAGACACCGCAACAACTTTGATGCCCGCAACGACTCGGATTACATGCACAGTTTCGGCAATAGCGTTCACATGGACCCAAACTCTGCTGAGAACATGGCCAGACGTGCACAGTTCAAAGCAGAGAAGGACCAGTGGGAACGTGAATGGCAAGGAATTGACCCCGAAATGGAGAAGCTGCGTGCAGAATACTACGAAGAGGATATGCGAAGCCGCAGAGCTGGTGACCTGGATGACACGGCGAAGGAAGCTGGAGGTGGACTTGATGACGACCTGTTCTACTCCCCCAGATCAGACTTTAATGTTTTCGGCACGTTTGAAAAAGAATTGGATGCTGGCACGGACAAAGGCGGCTCCAGGCCTGCCGACTTCATGGACTCGCCTGACATGGAAAAAGAGTTTGGTCATATTCTCGACATGAATGAGAAGGATGGTAAACATCCTTACTGGTCAAAGTCTTCATCTAGCTCTGCTGGGCATGATTCCGCTAGGCATAGTTCTGGACGCAAAGCTACCTACGAGGCTCGTTCTTCTTTCGACTCCACCAACTGTTCTTCCCACAAGCGTTTCGCCAGCTGCCATTCCACCACCAGCTCGGTCGACAAATTCTCAACTCAAAGCCACGCAGCCAATACTGTTAATGCCACCGAGAACTCAGTCAAAAACACATTCACAGGCTTTGCAACTTCCGTCGACATTTCCTCACCTCTACTTCCTATCCACAACGACTCCGTTGATGATCCATCCAACAAGGACTCATACATCAACTCCTATCTGGGAAACTGCGAGGCCTTGAAGAACTTGGTGCCCTTCTTTGAACAGAAGGTTCGTGAGCACCCTGAGCAATACACTGCCGATGATCTTTATGGCGAGCTCAACGGAGTTGTCTTGGAGACCTACAACGGTTGGTTGGAGGGAATGCGAATGTCATTCAGAGCTGCCAAGACCCGGAACATTCTGAGGAATCCAGCTGCCTGTGCTCACCTTGGATCCTGGCAAAAGGAGCTAAACCGGGCAGAGTGTGATCGGTGTCACCTCTGCAAGCCGCTGTATGTTCTGACGTGCCCTGGGTGCGGTCTGAAGGCATGCGTCCGGTGCAAGTTTACGGACGCTTACTTTGCGGATAAGTGAACAAGATGACTTTCATCTGTATGGCGCCTTTGAGAGTTGTTTTGTTGCGTGGGGCTTTTAGGACGAACCGTCCAACACGATCAGACACATTGGCACGTATGCCGTGCTGCGATAGTAAAATGTATAAAAGACCAAAAACAGAGACAATTTCGGACCTTTTTCACTTCTCGCTTAGTATTTCGTTGAATATTCGTAAAAGAGGCCGGCTCTTTGTGAGAGGTTTATGCGCAGGTGAGATAGATAGGGTTTAGGACCCTCGTAATATGTAGTAGACAGAGAGAGCAGGAACTGTCAAGGTTGAGCGTTTTCCCGATTAGTTTTCCGTCACTTTCCACCGAGGAGAACGAACATCCAATGTTCAAGCCACCCTCAAACAGGTCACGCCCTCTTCATCGATCAAACCGATAGACAACCAGCTCCCGAGCTGTATTCTCACCAACCAAATATCTCTCACAACCACATATTTTCCCTCTCCCCTTGAAATCCACATTTGAACGAGTTTCATGCCAGTCAGGCGTCCAAATTGTTAAATTGACAGTCTTATGATGGGGATCATTAGGCGCAAAATGAAGACAAAAGCCAACATCTACATCAGGTTCGCTAACTTGAGCGATGATATCAGTCCAGGAATCCGCGTATACATTCGAAAAGTCGAAGAAATCCGCTTGCAAGCTGCAGTTGCCGCGGTAGACTGGTAACATATCATCCTGCAAGGTACGGCCATGGGGTCCATTCCCGATGGTCGGAATGGATGTCGTAACACACATACGAAGACCGTCTGGCTCAGGCGTCCCGTGGCCATCAATACGCATCAAGAGGTTATCGGTGATTTCTATTGCCTGGGAATCATCCGTGATGGATAACCGCGAAATGGACGGAGTTCCTCGTTGACGAATGTCGAAGAAATCAAGGTCTCGGAAGCCGAATCGTGCCACAATGCTTGGGGCGTCCTCGGGAGTTTCACCACGCAGTCGACCTGAAGAATCCAATGACGGCCGGTAAGATGATACCTTTGAGATATCCCAGACAAACAAAGATTCAATCGGTGCATCCTCGTCTGCAGTGTACAGGCTGCGATTCGGTTGCCACATGTAGATAACATAATGAGTACTGCTGTGCGTAGAGAAGAAACGATCTCGCTCGCTGAGAGGATGACCCAAGAACATGATCTTCCATTCATTGCGCGGGAGAATACTCCAGACGTGGTCTTCACCCTCAATGACATCGAACGAAGACGCAAAGTGACGATGTACACCGTCGCTCTCATTCAACCAGTGGAAGGCCAGAGGCTCAGCCCACTCAATGACAATCAACCGCTTCTGAAGCCTGACTCGGCGAACAACCCTGCCACGAATGATAAATGGCACCATGAACTGGCGGTCCGTTTCCAAATCCAGGAGCATGAGACTCTGGCTCTCCCCACTGGGATAGACCAGCAGCCCATCCTCGAAAGTCCACAAAGCCTCTTCAAATCGGGTATCGACAATGCCCGTTTGGTGACTGCTGTGTGATTCCCAGGGCTGAACGGGGAACCATTCGCGCTGGCGGGAGCTACCGAAGGCATCGCACAATCGATACTTCTTGATAGAGCGGGGCTTTCCCCGTTCTAGATGATCATATCTTGCGGCGACTTGATCAAAGAGTCGACGGCCTTGAAATGGATCTGCTGTCTCTTGTTCAAGGGCTGTCACCTCTTTTGTCCATGGGAACTCCTGTTTCAGGAGAGGCAACAGAATGGATGGGTTGCTAAAGGCTTCGTGCCAGGCACGCGAGACTCGACGACTGCGGATTATATCGTGAGGTTCTAGATATGCCAGGATCATCCAGAAGAGATCGCGAGGTAGAAAAGCCAAGTCATGGCATTCCGGAGTCATTGCTGATGTACAGAAGGGAGAGTGTTGGAACAACTTGGGAGTCAGGAGATTAGGACTACATTTATCGTACGGTTGACTAGTATCAGCAAACAATTATGGGTAATGCTGTAGAAATGTTTATATAAATATATGAAAAGTATGTCTATCCCTTATAATAAAATTGCATATTCGACGTGAGGTTATTGCCAGAATACCCTCCGCATGCCAAGAGCTTCAGGACACCTTGCGTGATGTTTGGGGCCATCTGGCTTTTCTCTCTTTAGCTTCCCGAACATTTACTGCTGCCTTCTTTGACTTGACTTGACTCAACATCGTCACCATGTACGGCAGTCTTCTGCTCGTCACGTCGCTTCTTGCGGCGCTGCCTGTGAATGCCGATGGACTATACACCAAGAATTCGCCGGTGCTGCAGCTGAACCCCAAAACTTACAACTCGCTCATCGCGAAGTCGAATCATACCTCGGTGAGTAACTTGCTCGCACCGCATGTACAATGGATTAATTGACTAAATTCACTGACTGGTATAGATCGTCGAGTAAGCTCCCCACTATAGCTCCGCGTCTCGGACATTTACTCATTTACACTTAGATTCTACGCTCCCTGGTGCGGACACTGCCAGAACCTCAAGCCCGCCTACGAAAAGGCCGCGAAAAACCTCGACGGACTGGCGAATGTCGCCGCGATCAACTGCGACGATGACGAGAACAAAGCCTTCTGCGGCCAGATGGGCGTGCAGGGCTTCCCAACCCTCAAGATCATGACCCCGTCCAAGAAACCCGGAAAGCCACGCGTGGAGGACTACCAAGGCGCACGCAGCGCCAAAGGCATCGTCGACGCAGTCGTCGACCGCATCCCCAACCACGTGAAGCGCGCAACAGACAAGGATCTGGACAAGTGGCTCGGACAGAACGAGGAACGGCCCAAGGCCATCCTCTTCACGGAGAAGGGCACGACAAGCGCGTTGATCCGCGCCCTGGCAATCGACTTCCTGGGAGCAATTGACTTCGCCCAGGTACGCAACAAGGAATCCGCCTCCGTCAAGAAATTCGGAGTCACCTCGCTTCCTGCGCTTGTCCTCGTCGCCGGCGACGCCGAGCCCAAAATCTACCAGGGTGACCTGAAGAAGAAGCCCATCACCGAATTCCTGAGCCAAGCAGCCGCGCCCAACGCACCCGCGTCCTCAGACTCCAAGCCCAAACCGAACCCAAAGGCCAAGTCCAAGTCCAAGCCCGCAACAAAACCAACCTCCGTCGCCGATGACGCCGACGACGTAGAGCCAACCACCCCAGAGGAAGCAGACACCAAGCCCGTCCAAAACCCCATCCCCGCACCCGCAATCCCAACCCTCTCCACCCCCGAATCCCTTGAAGCAGCCTGCCTAACCCCGAAATCCGGAACATGCGTGCTAGCCATCCTCCCCGAGGCAAGCGAGCCTGACGAAGCCCTCCCGGCCTCGGCCACAGCTGCGCTAGCCAGCCTAGCTGAGATCGGCCACAAGCATGCCCAACGTGGCACACATCTGTTCCCATTGTATGCGATCCCCGCTAGCAACCCTATCTCCCATATCCTGCGCACTGCATTGGGTCTGGCCCAGGGATCGGCTGTGGAGGTTATTGCGCTCAATGCTCGTCGGGGCTGGTGGCGTCGGTTCGGTGCTGCTGATGAGGACTTTGGGGCTGTTGCTGTTGAATCGTGGGTTGATGGCATTCGTCTTGGTGAAGGTGCTAAGGAGAAATTGCCTGAAGGTATTGTGTCTGGTGCTGAGGCTGAGCCTGAGCCTGAAGTCGAGGCCGAAACTGCTCCTGAGCCCGAAGCTGAAGCTGAAGCTGAGGTCGAGGAGCAGGTTGAGCCCGAGGCTGAGGAAAAGCCTGAGCATGATGAACTGTGAGGAACTCTCATCGTTGGAAGGAGCCGATGTCATATTCCGGTTACCTCTGCCATTCATTTTGCATCTTTCAAAGCGCGCATATGTCTGTAAGCCAACATAGTACCAAAACATTACAGCATATCTATACCAACCCTACGTAGCACCACCGTGAATGTAGACATAATGAACATATGATTCATATATACAAGGGACGAAAACCCCATTAGAAACATGAACCGAAGAGTACAAAATACTAGAGACAGAGAGAGCAAGCAAGTCATTCAGACCAAACCGAACACCGAACACAAATGCAGAAAGAGAAAAACAACAGTCCAAACCCTCACTTAGTACATTTAGTGCTTTTTGCTTTTGCGGCCCTCAGTGCCCCTCTTGATAACCTTCTGTCTCTTCGAGTCGATTTCCTGATCGTAGATCTCTCGCGCCGTCTCGCCCTTCTTGCGCTTAGTCTGCTTAGGCAGCTTAACGCTCGCGTCTCTGGAGGCTGTGAATCAGTTATTGTTCATTCGAAATGGGATAAGTATGTAGCGGTAGGGCTTACCCGTCAGCATCGATCAAGGCGCGCTGCTTAGCGAGCATCTCCTCCTCGATCTCCTTGCCTCCCTCGCGGAGCTCGTCATCCAGGTTCACAGGCAGGGGCTTGTGCTGGGTATCGGGCTCGTCGTCGTGGGCGGCGGAGGTCTCGAGACGGACTTTTCTGGCGGGAAGAGTCTTCTCGACGTCCTCCTCGAGCAGAGTGCGGAAGTGGGTGGAGATCTTGCGGACGATCTTGAGGAACATGGCGAGGAGCTGGGAAGAGGGGAGGTTCAACTCCTTCTCTAGGGCATCTAGGCTCTTGTGCTGCAGACCAATGGCTAGGAGGATGGACTGCTGCACGCCGGAGAGGCTGACCTTGCCGGAAAGACGATTGGCGAAGTAGTATTCGGAGAGGGTGGGTACCATGTCGAGGATGACGTGGTAGTCCAGGAGATTGTTGGCGTAGCTTTCCAAACGCTTCTGGTCGAAGGCTGAGAAGGTCTGCTTGAGTTCGGCTGCTGTCAAGGCGCGAGGCTTGATGGATTCGTCCAGCTTGGCGCCGGCGTTGGCAGACTCGCAGATGCTGAGGGAGAGCACGGAGGGGAACTGGCCGAACTGGTACGACAGAAGGGAGAGGAATCGGCGCTGGAAGTCACGCGCGAAAGCGCCGAGCCAGGCAGGGTCGTTGGGACCGCTGGTAAGGGTGCGGAGCATCACGCATGAGTGCTCGCCAGTGAGTTCGTTGGGGGTCTGGCGCAGGTACACGGGGGCGAAAGAGCCGCGCTTCCAGAACTTGTGAAGGGATGGAGTGAGACCGTAGCTGACACCGACGTAGTCGAGGGCGTCGGGGCGACGCTCAGACAGCTTTCCGAACAGGGGAGGCATTGAGCGGATATCACGGACGTGAACGTTGTCATCCAGGAGGCTGGAACCGGCGAGCTCTTCGTCGGTGACACGAACCATCTCTTCCTCGGGGGCGGCGGTGTTCTCGTCGAGGTTGGTGAACTTGCCCTCGAAGAAGTCGACCAGGAGCTCCATGGCGCGGGAACCGTAACCCATACCAACATACTCGGGGTTGGTGGCAATGCGAACAACACGAGCACCGGAGAGACTGGCGAAGGTCTCATCCTGGAATTGCTGGCTGACCAACCACGGGATCAGGTCACCTCCGGCACGCTGGCCACGGCTGAGACTGTTGAGAACGCTCTGGCGACTGATGCGACCTTCAAGGGCGACTTGAATGACGCAAAGCGGCTCAGGGAGCTTGGTGGCCTCTTCATCAATAGGAGGGACAAGCACGTAGAGCTGGTGAGCGGGGGCATCACTCATAAGCTGGAGATCATTGGGGGTATTCTTGTAGTGACTGGCAACGTAAAGCGCCATCATCTGCTGCAAGAACTTCTCGGAAACAGGGTGGAAAGAGAAGAGCGTGTCACGGTTGACCTGGAGCAGCTGGCACTGAGAAGGGTGAGGGCAACCTTGTGTGTTCATGCGAGACTTGGGGAGAGTAGCATCAAGGCAGAGAACCTTGTTCAACCACTTCTCGACAGAGTCACCCGGAGCATAACGAATGGGCTCCGCGAGGGTGATCTCTCGCAAGGAGCGACCAGTAAGGTTCTTGTCGGCGTTCTTCGTCGCCTTTCCTGTGTCACGGTCCGCGATATCGGTATCGTCGGTCTTGAGACCGCCACGGGATTGTTCACGCAGCTGCTGAATCAGCTTCAGAGACAGGGACCGGCCCGTGCCTTCGTAACCGTTAATAGTAGACGACATGAACACCAAGTAAGGTCCCATCAGCTTCCGCACCAATGGCAGAGGAATGGCGGCAGCCTCATCAATGACCAGAAGCTCAGCCTGTCCGAGGACCTGCGCATCCTGCGGTTGAATGTATTGGATGGTTTGACGGTGGTTACGGTGAACGTTTACTCGCACAACGGCCTTGTTGAAGTCTGGGTTGGTCGACTGCAGGATGGTGTAGTCGACGTGATCGAGGTATCCGAGGGCGTCGAAGCCCTTGAAGACGAACTCGAAGAGAGTCTTCAAGTTCTCAGGGCTGGGGGAGGTAATGAAGATGTTGCTGTAGCCGTGAGCGATCGCTGCGGCGATGGCAACTCCGAGGGCAGCGGATTTTCCTCGACCACGACCAGCAGTGAGGGCAACAGTGCTCTTCAGTGTCTTCTCGGCGATGGCATCAACAAAGGTCAAGAGAGCCTTCGCTTGATCCACAGTACGGGCCAAGCTGAGCAAAGGACCGACGGGCTTGGCATCGGCGAGGCTCTCCTTGATTTCCTTCAATTCCTTCTTGGGCCCAGAGGCAGACTCGTCGGTGGACTCTGGGGGAGGAAGCGGCTTCACGGTCTTACCGCCAGAGATGGGCAGCACGTTCAACTCGTCGTCGACAACGAGACATGAATCACAGCTTCCCAGAGACAGGATGAAACGTTCGTTGAAACGAGCGACCACATCGTCGTGTGCCTCCGTTCGGTATCTCGAGTGGATGTCCATGGACATGGTGTAGAGCTGCTTGAGACTGGTCATGCTCTTCAGCAGCAGGATAACCATACCACCACCCTCGACAGTCTCGACGGTTCGAGCAAGCAAGTTGGGGGTCATGGCCTCAAAGTCCTGCAGCACACACATTCCGTAGGTGTTACCCAGAATCTTCTCGGTTTCCTTGTAGTAAACATAGCGGATCTGATTGAGGGTGATAAAAAGCTCGAAGGGATCTTCCTGGTTCGGTTCGCGGATGCCTCGTTTGACCTCCTTTTTAATCTTCGCTTCACGCTTCTTTCGATGACTCGTAAACCCGAGCAAGTCCTTCTTGTAAGCCCACAGAACGGACTTGTTCTGCTTCACGTCCACGCTGGACATGATGTAGTGCAGGTGCACAATGACATCCTTGGCATGGTCGCCCACCACCACGAAGAAGCTGCGCTTCTTCTCCTGGACACCATTTCGAATCAGAGCGGGAATCCGCGAGTCAATCGCCTTGCGGGGCATGATGACCGAATGTGAGGCGCGGAGCTGGCCTCGAGGTAGTTGTATGTCCCTCTCTTGGGTGAAAGTAGGCCGGGGTATAAACCAAAGGAGATAGTCCTTGGTTAAGCTCCTTTAAAAACAGGAGACACAGGTGAATTGGACTGGTGTTGATCGAAAACACTTCAGTCTTGTCTTGCGGCCAAAAACCCTACCGGATAGAAAAAAATGATACTGCACCCCTACACCGCCTAGTGAAGGATACCGCCTTCCTGCCAGATTCACAAGGCACCCAGTCACCCGACCAACTGCCAAATTTCACCGCCCTAGACCCTGTAAATCACCTGACCTGACCGGCCTTGCCCTTTCCCAATTGGGCCATAAGAGGATGCATGCCGCCATTCCTGATTGAGACTAGCACAAATCTCCTTGCCCCATTCTGTCGTTTGACGCTAACCATCCATGGGTCCGTTCGGCCATCTTTATTTCGATGCATGAACAACCTGGCTGCATTGACGCGTGTCGTTGGCTGTGTTGCCATCTGTAAGCCCCTCACATGGATAACGAGGCTGGTGGTATATGCAATGTCGCATGCAGCCACCCTCTGTGACCTCACGGTCACAAAGTGGGTCAGGAATCAACTAAGGCTTGATTCTGGCCGCTGATCGGCCCGGCATTTCCTGCTGACCAGCCATAACCCCAGAACAACAGCGGCTAATACAAGGAGCTAACAGATCCGGACATTAACCAGTGGCTGGAAATGTCCACTTTGTCGCCATTGGGCAAAGATACAGTGTCCATGCAAGGCCCGTGGTTGATTGCAATGTCCCTAGCCCGCCCGTTGACGCAACCCTAATGGATCAGCACTCCCAATGCCTCTCTGATTAGCCGATCTCAGACCCTTCCACCCTGCCCTCTTGTGCCATGTTTTCTGTCAATCCCCTGAGGCTCCACTACTCTTTGATTTTTCCCTTCTCTTGAAATCAATTGCACGCGATGGCAGGAGACGCTCTCAAGCGGGTATAGACGACCGGGCGCAAGATGGTCCAATTATCCCCCGACCTCGGGTTGAAGGTCTCTGTGGGGTGAGTACTGGCGGGATCACTGTGAAGACACAAGCTTATGATCGCATTCTTGCAGAGTATTCCTTATAAGCTCCCTATTCCTTACCACCTCATACAACACCACATTCGCTTTTGGTAAGTCGCCACCGAGTATGCGCCAGTTCCATTGACTTGACCTGACTGTCGTGTTGCCTCAGATCGCCCTGTTAGTACATCAGTTCTGGTCTGTTTCCTTACCGGGCTGGTCCTCTTGCTATGGGGTCGCTTTGTTCCATCGGGGTCGCAACCATCGTCGCCGACATTCAAACGACCGGGTGCCCCTCTCGCGGAGCAGTATGAGCTTCCCTCACGCGCCTCGACCTCGTCGTTCACATTTGGCGAAACTGAAAGTCGTCCTTCGTTGCGGAACCGATCGTGGTGGATAAAACTAAGTCTATTGGTTGGGCTGGGTGGCTTGCGAGTCGAGTCTTTCCGTCAAGTTACTCGACACAGCGAGTGTGTGCCCTCTGGATATGCTGTATGTGACTGAATAGCTCGGCCATTCGACCTGGACTGACAAAATGTCGCCAACAGTATGCCATTCCGTTCGTTATTTCGCTCTACGACTACTGGCGTAACCAGCGATCGCGACAAGTGGAGACGTATGTTCCTGCGCAGCGATTTCTCAAGCTGCCGCTGCAGGTGACCTACTCGGTTTGCCGCCGGAGCTTCCATTATCTTACACAGAGCCGCTTTAGAGGCGTCATTGCAGCTGCCTTCCTATCGATTAGTGGGCTCCTAGCTTCGTCATTCTCAGCGGGAAATCGCTCGACCTATATCTGTCCTGTGGTGTTACATGGCGCATCGCAAATGCGGTTCTTTAGGATCTTCAATGTGTTTTCAGACTCTGCATTACTGATTGGGATAACTGAGTTATGCCGGATTGGCAGTCAATTCGACGAGGGGCGGAGAAAGCGCACTCTGATGTTCCTTGGAGCTGGTCTCCTTGTAAGTGGCGACATTTCAATTGGGTGCGACGTCTGCTGACATTTCGTTTAGGGTCTTTCTGTGTTCTGGTGTATCTTAGGACTCAAGGTATCAGATAGCTCACCCGAACTCGCTGGGCAACCCACTTTGGATCTCGAATACTCGCGTGGTGCTTTCAGTCAAGCTGTGCTAATGCTGCTCCTGATCTTATCAGCTTGGCATATGGTCAGTCTGTCCAGAAAATCTGCTAAATTACCAACTGACTTTTCTAGTTACCACATTTTGACATTGTTGGTGTGGCAATCATTGGTGGTTTTATAGTTATATACTTCTCTTCTGTCTCGGCCCTTGTGGGTGGACAATCGTCCTACCCATTCATCTCCCTAACACACTCGATTCTCCCGATGGTAGCATCTCTAACGGGCGCCATCCTCTTCCTCCTCGCGCGAGTGGTCCACGACGAAGAATACAAACCCCTTTATCGCACCAACATTGCTGTACAGGTACTTTTCGTCATTCTCTGTGGAATTAGTCTGGGTTTCGCAGTGAACAAGCATCGCGTTTCTCCCATCCACCCAATTGATTTCCTTCTACACGACGGCAGAATTCAGCATGACAATTATATGGCCCAGGCTTCTGTGAGCAAGACCCTCCAAGACGCTGTTGGGGAATACCGGAGTCGTTATAACCAGCATCCGCCACCTGGTTTCGACAAATGGTATCAATACGCCACTAAAAAGTCGTCAGTAATCATCGACGATTTCGATCAGATTTATCACAACCTACTTCCTTTCCGAGCCCTGGCTCCCCAGCAAATACGGGAAATGACATCTCAATTAGCAACCAATCCGTTCAATGATCTCGGCGCCATCAGCATCCGAAATGGCAAGGCTAGAGTGCAAGAAGGGATTAAACCGACGCATGCGTGGATGGTGCAAGGGGCTGCCGACATGATGGAGAACTTTGTCGAGTTTCTCCCGGATATGGACCTGGTGTTCAATTTGAATGATGAACCGCGTGTCGCAGTTCCCTGGGAGAAGATCTCAATGTTGAATCGCCGGGCTCAGATGCAGCAGATGGCCCCCGAAGAGCACGCAGTGAATGCTTGGTCGACGAATAGACTAGAGGGTTGGGGTCCAATCGAACCCGCCGATCTGACCAACACCACCATCTTCACTGATGGTGCGTGGAGAGGTGTCTTCGATCCATATGTGAGCGCTGTATGCCCACCTTCATCCAAGGCACGTTCGCAGAGAATCTGGAACCGCCGTGATATTTGTTTATCATGCGCGGCACCTCACTCCATGGGCCAGTTCCCACTGGACTTCAATATCGCCTCCGATATCTGTCACCAACCCGATCTCGCATTCATCCACGGTCTTCTCATCTCCCCAGCCTCATTCAAAGTCTCGCAAGACCTAGTCCCGGTCTTCAGTCAAAGTGCCCTATCCGGCTTCAACGACATCCTCTTCCCTAGCCCATGGAACTACATCGACAAGGTCAAATACCAACCAACAGACGAACACCCCGACCCAGAATATAGCCACAAGGAAACCTCCCTCTACTGGGTCGGCAGCACATCAGAAGGTGTCAGCCGCTTCGGTGAATGGAAAGGCATGCCCCGGCAGCGCTTTGCCCACCTAATAAACAACAACACGAACAACCAAGTCTCCGTCCTCCTCCCAACAAACGACGGCACAGGCACCTTCCGCTACGAAATAATGGACGGCGCCGCCCCAACCGAAACCCTCCGCCTCCAAACAAACGTCCACCTAGCCGACCCGATCGTCCGCTGCGGCGACTGCGACGAACAAGCCGCCGAAATGGGCACAGTAGGCTGGGCCGACTTCCAAGCCCACTGGTCCCACAAATTCCTCTTCGACCTCGACGGCGCCGGTTTCAGTGGCCGCTTCCTCCCCTTCTTACACAGCCACAGCCTCCCCCTAAAGACAGGCCTGTTCAGACAATGGTTTGACTCCCGCGTCACCTCCTGGCTACACTTCGTACCCGTCGACATCCGTCTACACGGGCTATGGAGTACGCTCGCTTATTTCGCGGGTGTTCCTACTCCGGCAGGCGATCAGGGTCCTGGTGCCGGTGCCCCGCAAGTGCGCATGAAGGCGCATGATAAGCAGGGCAAGGCAATTGCCGAGGAGGGACGAGAATGGGCGCGCAAGGCGCTCAGGAAGGAGGATATGGAGATTTATTTCTTTAGGCTTTTGTTGGAGTGGGGGCGTATCACTGATGATCAGCGTGATGTCCTTGCTTATAAGCCTTGAGTTTGATGCTTGCATGGTTGGTGTTGATTTTGGTTTTAATGTTAATGTCAAATGGTACATACAGTTATTATATGAAGTAACTTATACATGTTTATTTGTATTCGTCCATGGTCCTCAGCAGTATCCATCGACATTGGCGTATATAAAGCCTCCTAGAGGTCTAGACCACGAAATGTATTTCTCTTCTTGTATTTCTCTTCTTGTATTTCTCTTCTTGTATTTCTCTTCTTGTATTTCTCTTCTTGTATTTCTCTTCTTGTATTTCTCTTCTTGTATTTCTCTTCTTGTATTTCTCTTCTTGTATTTCTCTTCTTGTATTTCTCTTCTTGTATTTCTCTTCTTGTATTTCTCTTCTTGAGAATTTCTCCGCTACAAAGTACTACCTCTACCTTACTGAATCCTCCAAGAAATCAATGCAAAGCACATGCGATCTTATTTCTAACGAAGGGAAGGGGTATTCAGAAAACAAAAACCGCGCCCATAAAACATAAACCATAAAATGCGTCGTCAGCCGCAACACCAGATCCCACCATAACCGTTGACTAGCACAGGCATAGGCAAGATAGCAGCGTATAGGAGGGAAAGTCCTTATGCAATCATAACACAGCGAAACCAAGCAAAAAAAGCCACACCTGGAGCTTTTCAACAACAGTCTCTTCTCTTCATCTCATGTCACTCCGCTTGAACGTCATCGCAGACAACAATTCACCGTTCTGTCATGTCAACGCGACACACGATATCGACGTTGATGTCTCACCATCTAGGCGTGGACATGGCCGTGGCCGTGGCCACGACGGTAGTGGTCACGACGGTGCTTGGTCGAAGGACGAGGACCAGGACGGACATAGGGAGCTGTATCACGTGTGGACTGCTTCGAAGACCTAGACTTGTCTCCATGACCACCTCCGTGACCACCTCCGTGACCATCTCCGTGACCAATATCAATATCGACATCAATGTTAATGCCAACATCAATATCCAGCTGACTAGACTCCTGATAGACCTTGAGCGACTTGACACTCCAGTAAGTATCCTCAAAGGCAGAAGGGTTGTTTTGGACATAAGAGTCGCAAGTATCAGCCTTGCCAGCACAGCTACCCTGACCCCAAACAGACGAGTCACCAGCCCAGTCACCACAGAACGTGATATCGAAGACGATCTGCAGATCTTTGAAATGCGAGTTGATGTCGCAGCTTCCGGCGAAGCGTGCGGCGGGTGTACCCCAGTTCGAGGGGACAGGGTTTCCAGAGGTGATATCCGAGGGAACGGAGTAAGAAGGGAAATGCCAGACATTGATAGCAGAGCCAGTCCACTCAGTGGCGTAGACGCCACCGCCAGCATCGTTAAAGCCCGAGCCAAACGACTGCGTGTTACCGTTATCGATAGCGCAGCCAGCGTTAGCGGTCTGGCCGGAGGCATCGACGTAGCAGTCGTCTGTTTCCAGGGTGCCTGTGAAGCCCGAGTTGGAGATTGAGCAGCCGGAGCTGGTGTGCAGAGTCATCTGGTTGGAGGATTGGCCGTTCACGCCCTCGATGATGTCGATCTCGCCGTTATTGGGCCAGTCTGAGCCCAGCATCCAGAAGGCGGGCCAGGTGCCGCAGGCGCTACCGGGCATGTGGGCTAGGTCGAGGATGACTAGGCCATGGGTGTAGGTGTTTGTGCTTTCCAGGCGGACGCTTTGGCGGCCGGGATCGCTGGCGGTGTTCGAGTGGTCGACGCCGATGTAGACGCCGTTGCTGCTGGAGGCGTTGATCAGACCGCCGCTGGATGCAGTGTCGCGGTCGACATAGCTCACAAAGCCATTGGTTGGGTCGGAGTCCTGTGGATATTAGTATATTGTTTATTTGTTGACAACGGTATTTGGATAGGACATACAGTGAAGAAGTTGAACTTGTCAAAGAACGAATCGGTGGAGCCGTAGTCGTCTTTGAGACTGTATTTGGCAGCACTGAGCTGAGCCAACAAGCCAACAGCGGGCAAGAGAGTAGAAAGAACGTGCATTGTCCAGAATGCAGGACGAATGTCGAGATCCGATGTGAGATACGATGCTCAAGCAAGAAAGTGGCAAGTCTGTCAAAGACTTAGGTCGGAGATATATCCAGATATTCCAAAAGAATGCGAGGGTGAATGCACCTCAAAGTAGAAAGGAGTGTATAGCAAAAAGAAGAGAGTGGACAATGGACAATGCAAAAAAGGAGAGACTAGATGGACATAAGTTAATGCCTCAAAAGGTGAGAAGCGAGGGGGACTCCATTCTTATACATGAGACTATTGTCTCCACATATCAGAAAAGAGGAAAGAAAAAAAAAAAAAAAAAAACGAAAAAGAAAAAGAAAAAGGGACCAGGTACGGTCCCTGATCCATCCACCGGATCTCTTCCAGTGACAGGGACCATGTGAGAGATACAAAACGCGGTAAAAGGGCAGAACGGTGGACGTTCACCTGGAGAATGATTTATCCACATGGTTCTCGACCAGGACTATCGACCAGGGACTGATATCCAAGGGTTGACAGTCGGAGTCGTGGAACCGAACCAGAGTACTGTGTAAATCATCGTTGATCTTTCCGATCGAACCGGGCCACCCTGTATATGGGTTATAGCGTAGGAGATGATAGTTAGCATATGGCACAATAGTATAGACCTGCATTGGAAAGTCTATGCAAATGCAAATGCAGATCATTCATTGCCAATATTGAAAAGCGGAAACCTCAAGCGCTGAAATAAACTTTGCCGATGTTTCGGAACCAAAGACGATCACCACGCTGAGGCCGCTCACTCGCTCGGTCAACTTCTTCGCCCTACCCGGACTGAATTAAAGGTCCATCCTGACACTGTCACTGGCTGTGGCCATCCGAGCCGAGCCCAATCAGGGCATTTGACGCCATGCGATGAGTGGCAAAGGGAAGATTGACCAGATGATAGGCCGGAGTCCCTGAAGAAGACGTGGCTACCAAACCTTTCATTCTTCGTTCTTTGGTTCTTTGGTTCTTTTCTTGAGTTCCCTTTTTCCTTGGGGTAAACCTCGGCAAAGAAGACCCGGTCTAGACCTGACAGCTTACAGTCGAATATGAAGTGAAGTCAAAAATTGTCAAGTGGAGTGGCGAGGCGACCGCCAAAGAGTACCTAGACCCCAAGTAACTCCACAGCTGATCTACTACGGCAAGTAACTTCAGCGGTTGTCACACTGCAAAGATACATACACTACAGCTAGTTTGAAATTACGAAGAAAGAGAAATAGAGTTGGCCAGGGACAGGGCCCAATGTATCAGAAGACGATCCCTCTACATCTGAAACAGTATCAGTCCCCTCTGATATCCTCGCCAGACACGTACAATTACCCCCTTCGGTCAAGCGCCAGTAGATCACTACCTAGCAAGATACGGCAGAAGACCCTCTCAGTCCACCTCGCCCGAAACCCGATATATGCGGTCGCAGGTATATTAGAAAGGGTGTTGTGTGCCATGTGCACCGGTGACCAGCAGGGAATGGGGGCTGAGGCCGGGGCTGGGAAGGAGACTGGGGAGGGCGGAGGTACTGGAATGAGTAACTTAACTTATCCTCCCTAGTAGGTTATCAGCTGACACCCCAAGATGTTCAGATGTGCAAATGTCCGGATGTCCGGGGTGTTACATGTACATTGCCGGGGCGGTTGAAATGCCCATTGCAATGAAGCGAGCTGAGTGCGCCGAGCTGAGAACTTGGCAACAAAGAACAGTTGAGACATCGCTTCCTGACGTTATGCCACACTACATGTACATGTACAGATACGATCATGGAAGACAGAAGAAAGAACGCTCAAATGCAATTGCAGGGATACATCCCAGCTAGAAACAAGGAAAATAACAGCGGGCTATACATGCAAGATAATTCACCATGGATATCCCCGAAAGCAAAAATAATAATCATAATCTCCACTCAGTATAGTTACTGTAAGGAAGTCATCCCAGCGCGGCTGCTATGTACATGCCGGACAGAACATCTCGGCCCCTGACCAGTCGGGCGAATGGTCACGCCGAAAGGTTTCAGTGGAGACGCGGGTGCGGGCGCGGGCGCTGACTGCGTCTAGAACACACTGTCTATGGTAGAGGTGTCGACAAGAGAAGACGACGACCGGTGCCAAGGGTGTGTTTCCTCCGACCGATCCATTCGGAGGCCCAGTCCCTGGTTCGGCTGCAGGGTTAGAGTTGGCATGCTCGGCGTCATCATGGCTGTCACCGCGATGGGCGAGTGCATGCGCTGCTGCCGCGCGATCCAGATGGGACGGATGACCGGTGCCCACAACGGCGGCCTTGCCCTTGCCCCTCTCGTCCGGGTTGTAGGCATCCTCGTGCCGCTTGGCGATGCGGCGCTGGTGAGCTTCAGATTGCTTTTCTTGCCACGCGGACCAGTGCGCGTCGCCGACGCTGGGCCCCCAGATGCGTTGGCGGCAGATCTCGCAGACGTGGCCGCGGGGTCGCCAGCCTTGTTGGCGGAGGCGGGTGACTTCATCCACATGGACGAAGAGGTCGCGGTCTAGCATGCCGTTGGCGAGGGTCAGGAGGGATTTCTCGTAGGAATAAGCGGAGAAGATGGAGGCTAAGACGGCGCGGAGTTCGAGGAGGGAGGGGGACCAGGTTGCGGCGCGGGTGAGGAATGCGCGCAGGATGCGGAGGAAGGACACGTCTGTTCGTTCGGAGGTTGAAGTGCCTGCTTTGACAGTGCTGGCTAGCAGGGCTGTGAAGACTTGTTGGACGAGGGATCGGAAGAAGGTTGTTAGACGGCCGCTTTCGCCGCCGAGGGAGGTGGTGGGTTGGGAGGAGACCGTGATTTGAGTGTTGTTTCCCTGCATGAAGGCAAAGACGTTGCTTGCGATGCGGACGACGGCTTCGATGTGGTCGAGCCAGAGGGTTTCATCGAATGCTAGAGGGTGGTCGAGGGCTGCCGCGCCGCGTTTGCCGTTTGTGCTGCCAATTCGTGACTGCTTGCTGGTCTTGCTTTGACCCTGGCAAAGCCAGGTTCCGACGCCTGCATACTTGCTGAGAGACTCAATGAGGTCGTCGATTGCCTCGGCCGTGCTCGCTGAGTCGGGGCTTTCGCGGACGCTCTGGAGAATACCGACCAGACCGGATTCGAGGATGCTGAGATGTGAAACGAGACGGTCAAGCGCCTCGCGCACTTGGCCTTGTCGAGCGAGTAGAATGACAGCGGCATCAATGGCGCCGCTCTCTTCTATAGCGGGGAGCAGCTCTTCTAGGTGGATGTCGCCAACGCGCAGTCCGTCAACGTAATCCGCGACGTGGGTGGGATTGTATCTGCACAGGAGCTGCACATAGCGCTCGATCATCCAGTTCTCGACAGATGACGGTGCATGAGTTTCTGTACTCTGAGCGTGCGGCTCAACCAGTACCAGCAAGTAGTGATACTGATTCTGGGGATCGCCTTCTAAAACCCGCAAAAACGTAGAGTGGGTTTCAGGAGCCAGCTCTTGCATTGTTTGGGCAGTGAGCGTCACATCAATTGAGACAATATCTCGAGCGCGCTGCTTCACCACATCCACCACATCTCGCCTCGACTTCGTGCCGAGCCCGGATCCTGAGCGAAGACAGTCATGCAGACAGGTAAAGATGGACGCACGATCATTCGGATCCTCGAGGTAGGTCATAATCAATTGAGAGTATTGTTTCTCGGATCGATATGTCGACTTGAGAATGCGGAAAAAGCGTGCTTCCTTGAAGAGGGGGATCATGCTCTGGATATCGGGTGGGTGGTAGAAGGACAGCAGATACTCTGCACTCAATTCACAGTCGTCCGCCATATCCGGTTCGGGATACTGGCAGACACGCACCAGAACCTGGTGCAGAGTCGTGCCTGAAAGGAGAATGTACTGGGGGTATTTGGGAAGATTGCGCGCAACAAACATGTCCAGGTAAATGGTATCAAAAGGAGTGAAGAACTCGGCCGTCATAACTTGTAGCAAAATGCTGATCAGGTACTGTCGATTGATCGATACACCGGTGGGCGCCTCCTCGTTCTCGGACTCGTTCAGGAAGCTGTCCTCGAAAGCTTCGTTGAGCATGCTCATGAAGCTAGAGGTATCAAACTTGAGCATGGCCCGAAGTTGGGAAAATGAATCTGCGGTATCGCTAGACGTACCAGATCCGTGACCCGAGAAGAGATATTGGTACAACTCGGTTTTGGCACGCGAGGCTTCGGCTTCGTCCATATCTTCACCGGTGGGATAGATGCGACCTGTCAAGATGAAAGACAGATAGGGGAACATTTTCATCGCATTGTTTTGCCGTCTCATTTCGATCGCATAGTCTCCGTTGACCAAAGGCTCCGTCTGTGTTGGGATTTGACGTAGCAGCTCCTCTAATGGTCCCACGTAGTCCATCAAACAGCGATTCCACACATATATAAAGGCATCGTACAGATTATGCTGCTTGCACAACGTTGTAACCTGGTCAATGTCCATTGTGGTAGTATCCAGGAGACAGATAATCTCCTCCAGACGACCAGCCGAGTGGGTTCCAATGAAATGGTTGATCAAGGCTTTAACCGCTGTGGGAGGTAGCGATCGCAGCGTTCCATCGACGATACGAGGTTCAAGGGCATCCAGGAAGATTCCCACCGAGTCTTGCTCTTCATACCAGTTAAAGACTTCCTCCCAGAGGAACTCCTCATCCGCCATGTGGATACAAGCCGCAATGGAAACCTCTGCTAGTTCCGCCAGCTCCTGGTTATCCAGTCGAGCACTGTTCGCCTCAGCGTTTCGACCGAAAGCATACTTGAGGGATGCAGAGATCATCTCCAAAAGCTTTTCTTGCACAATAGGCTGTCTCATAGCATCCTCTTCGGGAAGCCCAACCGTCAGCTTCTCCGCACTTCCTGTGTAGTAAGATGTTGCCAAACGAATAGCCCCAATGAAGTCACCCGCCTCCATCAACGCCAGTAGTCGGTCGGCCCAATTGGATAGATTGCCGACCAAGGCTTCGCTGTAACCTAGCAAAAACAAGCGACCTTTATAGGAGCGGAAACTCATATAGAAAGCATCGGCTACCACCCCATGCATGGACTCATCTTCTTCGTCAAGCTGCTCCACTAGCGTATGGAGCTGTGAGGAGAAAAGATCGGCGTGGTAGATGTGTCGGTTGGCCAGATCGATGGAATCCGTCACATGCATAGAATAATCCTCAATGATTAGCAGTCGCTGCGTGATCGTGAACACGGCAAGCACCGACCGACTGAGCCACTGGACTGCTACAATGGCTTCGTCTGCCTTCCATCTGCTGCGCGCTTGGAAGACAAGGCTAGGAGGTCTGTCTCGGTCCACAGGTTCATCTGTCTCCGCTTCCGTGACTTCAAGCACTGTTAACACATTTGACCAGCAGTAGACCAGCTTCGTATTTGAAGTCTGACTATCTTTGCCTTTCAATCGAATGGCTGGGAACCATGCCAAAGCTCCAGTCATGGCACTGTGTGCCGGTACTTCTTTTGGTCGTGGTGCCTTGTATTGCGTTTGCGCCACTGGTGTAGTGGACACGATGACCAAAAGATAGGGGGTCAGCATAGCAACAAGGCCCAAAGAATCAGTGGGCTGTTCCACATTGCCGAGCGGCAGGGGAGAGAAAGCGAGGACCGAGCTGGGCTTTCGTCGCCGTGTTTCCTCTAACGAAGGTTGAGGGTATCGACCCAGAATTCGGGTCGATTTTACTGTCCGTCCTACTGCGCCCATTCCTCTTGTTGCCAAGTGCGAAAACGCCATGCCCCGTGTATCAGCCGACACAAGGGCAGTTCGTCTGGTGCCGAGGAACCCTATGTGGATGACCGCAGAACCCGAAAGATGGCCATCAGATATCCGAGTCTCTACCTGTTTGGCCGGAATTGGCGGGATGTGAAGGAATGGCCGCGCTGAGCGGGACATTTCCCATGTAAAGATGTCGCCCGAGTCATGGCCTCCTGCAACCGTGGTGTGGTCCGCAGAGAGTGCTAGAGAAGTAACAGCTCCACATTCAACAGCTAATATTGTCAGTATAATGCACCATCGGTGTAAATAGCATTTGACAAACCTGGTGTGCCAGTTCCAATGATAGTCTTTAAGCTTTGTTGATAGTCGAACACAAGTATAATGCCCTTGGATGTACCAATGACAATCGACGTAGATACAGCTAGGCAAGTCGGCCGTCCGAAGTTGCGCTTCCCAATTTCCGAAAATGCCTGCCCGGTGATCTTCCGCAACTTTGTCCACCGCACGACATCCCAAGGCCCCTGGAGCGGTTCGGTTTCCGTTTCTGGTGTCGCGGAGACCTGGCTGGTGATTGAGGATTGCCGTGAGTGTAGATGCGCTAAAAATGGCGAGCCAGATCTAGACACACTCTGTGGCGAAGATGACAGTCGGGACTGGAAGCGAAGGTCGAACGGACGACGGGCCGGGCTTGGGCTGACCAGCGGAGACCCTCTGAGAGCCAGAGCACTGCTGCTCAAGGAAGACGGGACAGAGCCCTATAATTAATCAGCTTGCTATACAAGTTGCGCGCCGATCGTGTCACTGACATGTAAGGATGGGGAATCGTCGGGGGTTGACCCCGTTCCATCCGCGCTCCTTGATCGAGCCCATTCCGCATTTCGGGGTGGAGGAGTTTCTGGAAGATACGGATCTGCCGGTTCCACCGTCTTCTCGACATCCTGGTCCTCCGCATCATCTAACGTGTTCAATTCATCTTCCGCCGGTTCCTGCGGGGAAGGTAAGGCGTAGTCGAGGGCGCCATGGTCGGGTTGTTGGGGATCGTCTTCCTGGCCCAGGTCAAGCTCATCCTCGCGCGACCAACCCTCACTGCCCTCAGCCATCGAGCTCATGAGCGAGATCTCCGAAAGACCATTGCTCCGTTGTTTAGCTAGGGTGGAGTCGAGGGCGAACCAGCGGTGCGGTGATGCGGCGATGCGGTGTTATGCGGGGAGATCAGCAATTAACTGAAGCTGCGAGAGGAAGGTAGGTAGGTATATGAGAGTTCGGAGGATGTGTTGAGCTTGACGTGTCAAGGAACGGTGGAGATGATGTTCCAATGGATCGGGGCCGTTTTAGGGGAACTCCAGCCACAGGTGGCTGTCAGGGACATCCGCTCTCCGAGATATTCAACTTGGCTTACAACTTACTTTTACTTAGTGGTACTTGATTGTGTTTTATTCTTCTTTGTTTATTCAAGTTGCAGGTCCAGTATACTGTGTCAATCTCTAATGAGCATCCTCTCTCCGCCCGTGTGGATCGCGGTAGAGCTATCAATATCATTCTAACACCTCCACCAGAACAGTATATTGCACAATTTTACATGATGCATGTGCTATACTAATGGAAAATCAGTTGCTTTATGAGAAGACGCACGGCTTCCACTGATTAACTTTACAGATCTGACCAGAACATCAAGTACTCATCAGTTTACACAACTGCTCCAAGCTGATATTTTCACACGTTCTTCATGATCTAGACGAATCTTTATATGACTAGGCAATATATACTTCTACAGCTATCAACACAAACTCTCCCATACCCCTGACTCGAGGTCCTACCACAGGGGCCATTCCTAGCGGGGTCACCAAATGCAACATGGCGGAACTAGCTCGATCACTTGCATGAAGGGAGAATCCCCGAGATTGAATCACAATCAGGTCCGGAGACACCCTTAAGCCTTGGAGGATGACCTCTACTCTGTTTATTGGTGCGGGGGCTGTGGTTACATCGGTCACAAGAGACCGGGATGATATTCATGCCCTATCACCAACCATGAACCTGACATGAGACACGATGGTCAGTCGGGTCTGTTTTTCTGTCGGACTTCTCATTTGGTCAGGGATCGACATGTGGAATGTTGCCGGCATGGACTTATCACCTCTTTCACGGTGGCAGCGGGCTCTCCGGCGTGACCGATGACTGCTACTTATTGATCACGATGGATGCGATACCGTGACAGGGGTGGCAGTGAATAAAGACGTGGAGTAGCGCTCTTTTCACTCTGGCCGCAGGACCAACAGCCAAACGGCGCACCTAGCTACGATGGCTCCGAAACACCAAAGACTGACGCGAGCACTGCTCAGCACGATCCTATTTCTCCAGCCTGTGCTATCAGTGCCAGGAACAGGAACACTGCTACCACGAGCATCGCCATCCTCGTCGGTATCTACATCTACACCGACCCCGTCGGTATCAACGTCAACCCTAGCCGCCGCAACAACCTGCAACGGCCACTCGGAGTATTGCACAAGATCCTACTCAAACATCACCTTCGTCGGCTCGCACGACTCACCCTTCGTCGGACCTCTCCCCCAACAAAACCAGAACATCGAGGTAACAGCCCAGCTGGACATGGGGATCCGATACCTACAAGCACAAACACACCGTTCAGTCTTCGACAAGAACACTCTCGAGCTTTGCCATACCTCTTGTTTCCTCGAAGATGCAGGAACACTCAAATCATTCCTGGAAACAGTGAAAAAGTGGCTAGACGCAAATCCAAACGAAGTCGTCACGCTCCTCCTAACAAACGGAGACTCAGTACCGATCAGCGAGTTCGGCGATACATTCTCTAGCAGCGGTATCAACAGCTATGCATACACTCCCTCCGCAAACCCGCTCTCGATATCTGACTGGCCAACACTGGGAGAAATGATTTCAAGCGGCAAGAGACTAGTCGTATTCCTGGGTATGTTTACATCTAATCATACCAACAATTACGCTCTCAAGCACAACGTCCAGGGCTAAATCATAAGACTATGCTAATCCCTGAATAATAACAGACTACGGTGCCGACACATCAAAGGTAAACTACATCCTCGACGAATTCACCTACTACTTCGAAACCCCCTACGACGTAACAGACTCGACCTTCTCGAGCTGTAAAATCGATCGACCATCCGGCGCCTCGGCTACAGGTCGCATGTATGTCGTCAACCATTTCCTGGATGTCGATATTCTAGGCGTGTTGGTTCCGGACCGTGATAAGGCTGATGCTACCAATGCCGCTACGGGTGAGGGTAGTATTGGTGCGCAGGCGACTTTGTGTGAGGGGTTGTATAATCGTGCGCCGCATGTGCTTTTGGCGGATTTTGTGGATAAGGGGGACGTTATTTTAGCGCAGAATGCTTTGAATGGGTTTTAGGTTGCTTGTGGTTGTGGTGGTTGGTGGGATATATATAGTTGTAACTCGGGATGAAAACATAGTTCTGGCTTAGTATCAGTATATTTCGAAATATTATCTACACTATTACGAAGCCATGAATTTAGTTCGTTACAGCTAGAATGATCTACGTATCAAAAAGACGTGTATAGAAAAACAGGGTTGAGACTTCAGTGTCCATAATCGGATGCAATTCACAACATAAAGTCCAGTCCAAACATATAGCAAAAGTCAATGGTTATCTAAATGCCAATGCTATCCATATAACTCCTAATATGCAAGATTCCAAAATTTGAACAAAAAGCCAACACTCAATCCTCCAATTCAACCTGCATTTCCCGATCTAGCTCGACAACATCAGCACGTACCCATATCAACATGCATAACCAAACAAATACTCACCCCAGATCTTATTAGCATGAGAAATAATAGTCTCAGCCCTAACCAACAACTTCGCCGCATAGCGCTCCGAATCAGCAGGCGAGAGCTGATTCTTCTGCGCCTTACGAGGATTAACCTAACCCCGGAACTAAAATCAGCACCAGATCAAATCATCAAAGCCCACTATACGAAACCAAAGCAGTTGAACTTACCATCATAAGAATAGGCACCAAATCCTTAGCCTCGGCCTCGGCCAAAGCCCTCAAATTCCTAAACCCATTCTCCCGAAGCAATCTTGCCGTCCAACTCTTAACAAAAGTAACCTGAGCCATCTCGAGCAGGTCTGCACGCGCACCAGCCTCCAGCCTGTCACGCATATGATCCAGCACGGCGGCCATCATACCCCAATTCATGCGTTGGCAGAATTTGACGATTCCCGCCGCGAAGCCGTGGCATTGTTGGGCGAGGGTTTGGACTGTGCCGCGGGTGATTTTGTAGCGGGATGCTATTGTCGAGAGGGGGGTTTCGTTGCTTAGATCGCGGAGTTGGAAGGCTGTGTAGGCGCGGCGGTAGATGTGGGCTGTTTTTATTTGGGTTGGGTTTGTTTCTTTTAGGGAAGCGCCGGATTGGACCCTGAGTCGATGGTTAGCATGGGTTGTATGGGTTTGAGGAGATACTATAGAGGGAGGGAAGGGATCGGTGGATGGGTACATTGTATTCACGAAGCCGGGTTGGACGCCGACAAATTGTAGGGCTCGAAGACCGCTCTCGTCTAGTCGGTCTAGCTGGTCTCGGAAGATTTGCCAGTCGATTGGTGTGTTCATTGCTGCTTGGAGAGGGGTGAACATGTAGAAGATGTGCATGTCGCCGTCCATGACGAAGGCTTGTAAGGCTCTCTTTAATTCTTCGTGGATGAATAGCCCATCTTCAGGGGAAAAGGCCGAGGCCACGATTGCCTGTCCTAATGGTGTGGATCCGTATGATTCATCTTCTCGGAAGATGATGAGTTCTTCATCAAGCAATTCCTGAAGTGCAGATTTCATAATGGTGTATGCAAGTTTTTTGTCCACAGTTCGGAAAAGGAGCGTGCATCGAACGTATTCTTTGATTGCGTCGCAGCCTGATACCAGTCCTGTTGCTATGGCTTCCAACAGCGCCCTTCCAAGATGTGAGTAAAATACCAAAGGCCGAAGAAGCGAGACACACCTTTTTAGACCTCTTTTCTCTGGTGCCAAGCAGCTCTCGATGGCAGGCATGTCAGCATCCAACAGGTCGCATACGGCTTGCATGTCGGCTTTAACGCATATCAAATAGGTCTCGCCGGTTTCGTCCTTGCCTTTGCGTCCCGCACGTCCACACATCTGTCGACTGTTTCTGTCAGCTTCCTCTAATTAACTTAAAGGGAAAGGTGGCTCATACAACATTGCCGGGCCTACTAGCTCACGGCCCATTCGTGCCCCGTTGATAATGACTCGCCTTGCGGGAAGATTTACTCCAGCTGCAAGACTACATGTGGCCACGAGGACTCTCAGTACGCCCTGATCATATGCCTGTGCAATAAGTTCACGCTCTTCCGTTGTCATACCGGCATCTAAAGAAAGGTCAGTAAAATTGCGTTTGATCCTAGATGATGGGATACTCACTGTGAAACCCCGTTCCCCTGAGAATTGTAGTCTCAAGGACTGGATCTAGGCCACATGCAAGGCTCCGCAGGTCAGCAAGAAGATCCAGTCGTTTGTTCATTTCATCTGGTTCTGCTGGCGGCATTGCTTCACCGATGGTAGCAGCTTGGTTTTGGCACGCTTGGCGACTGCCACAAAATACCAATACACCGAACCCTGCGGCTGCAGTTTCGACTGCCAAAGCTACCGTGGCATTCGTAGCTGAGTTACTGAGCTGTTTAAAACCGGAAGGTTCAATGACTCGATGTGGAGGGATTGTATCAGTCACGGACGCAGCAGCAGTCAGCTTGGATGCTGTTTGGAAGAGCTGTCTTGATGTTGCAGCTGGGTAGATGGCATTCTCGTAGACTAGGTATTCGTCGATGGGAATTGGTCTGTACGTGGAAATGTAGAATTTGGCGTTCATCCACTCCGCCAACATTTCAGTGTTCTATAATCCAGTTAGAAAAGCCATCCCTAATGGGAAAAAGCACATACAGAGAGTGTGGCACTCATGCCAACGATTTGGATATCCTGTTGGAGCAATAACAGCTTGGTAACCATGAGTTCCAAGAGATATCCTCGATGCTCATCGTCGAGCATATGTAACTCGTCAAGCACAACGACCCCCAGATCACCAATGCTACATTCCTCGATTGCAGTGTTTATCAACGAGTTAGCCTAGGTAGAAAAGATCATCAGAATTCCGCAGCAACACCTGTCACAAAGCATACACACCTTTTCTATCGTACAAACAGCAATATCAGTATCAGCCCAAGTAGCCGTCGTCCGGCTTCCACCAAAGAATCCGGTAACGCGGATATTTTTCTGAGCACGCTTCCATCGCCTGCGAGGAAACGAAGAGTCGTCATCTTCTTCATCTGGAATATTTTTCTCCACATCTTGAACAATTCGCCTCATCCACTTCAGCTTCTCTTGTACCAAAGCGACATAAGGCAAAACGAGGAGTGCTTTGCGCGTTGGATTCTCAATGATCCGCCTCAAGAGCAACACATCCGCAACAAGCGACTTGCCTCCACCCGTCGGAGCTGTGTAAACCAAGTGTCGTTCACCACAGAGCAGACCTTTCGCCAATAAACATGACGCCTGCCACGGGTAGATATTGGAGACGCCCAATGCGGCAAAATTGGCAGTAAGGGACAGCGGCAGACCATACTTCGGATTCGAGAGTGACAGCAGGGGATTTTGACTAGATCCCGGGGCAGAAGTACTCACACTCCTCTTTTTCTCCTCGTCTGGTGATGTCTCACCCGCGCCTGCGCCGGGATGGATCTTGCTGGCAGTAAAGCGATTCGCGGGGGCGGTTAGTAAAGCCCGCGCTGATTCCCACGGTGAACCCACCAAGATGTCAGCATTGGCATTTTGGCCTTGCCCAGAACCGGTCGCTTGCTTGACGACTGGACCTGGATTGAGGTCGGGAGTCTGCTCGATTTCTGGTGGTCGCTTATGGCCTGCCACAGGCGCTAACTGATATCCTCGGGCGATATCAATGGTGGTCTGGAATCCGCGCGACTGGATGCCCGATTTCGACATGCCTGAAGCATCGGTCCATAGGAGAGATGTATTTCACTCTTTTGTTTGTTATTTGTTATTGTCGTCACGGGTGTTGAATCCCGGCCTGAGGCAGGAGAGTTAGTCAGCCGAGCTAATCCGGACATCGGGAGTGTTCCTGTTCCTGGATCGGAGATGTGATTCTTTCTATGTTCAACCCCTTGCACGAGTTTTCCCCGTAGCAATAATCGCACCAAGACACCCCTATGGCTATTAGCTCTTAAAGCTAGGCTACAAATTTGAGACTCATTGTAGCCTGAAACGAGTGCACGTCTATATATCTATTCGGGACAACAAATGCCTAAGTGGGATCTGGGCAAGCTGGCCAACGTTGTGTTCTACCTAGTCTAGACATCTCGAACAGGCAGCAGTACTCCGTTGTACTGTAATCCGGAACACACGGTCTAAAAAAATGGATCCAAAATTGGACAAATTCTGAGACTCGGTGGAGGCGTCATAACGACTGTATCATGAGTCGCGTACCACCTATTTCATGCACGGTGTGAAATGTGATATGCCCTATGCCAAAGGAATTAATGGACGTATCTGAATAGCGAGTATACTCTATTGTCTATATAGTCAATATAATCGGCCTCAATCCAACACAATCGGACCGTGGACGGAGCATGCCGGCATAGGTGGCAACGGAAGTAAATCGGCGTCATTGGACATTCAATTACCGGTATTGTCTCGGTATTGATCGACATGAAATTATATCTGCACTTCGACTCTACGCTTGCTCTCGAAGTGTTCTGTTCTAGGTCGCATGGATCTTTTTACATTCCTTGATATCTACTCTGTAGTTTTATAACTCATGTCCCTGGGCAACTGATGGGCAACTTATACTTGATGGTTCCTGGTGTTTCGGATAATGTTGTAGGGGTTTGATACTTTGCCAACGCATATGTTCTGATTCGTCCCTACATTATTCACTTTGCCAACCGAGCTTCGACCGAGCTCTAGCCCACCAAAAGTATGCCCGTTAACTTATATCTGACCCGTTGGCTTGGGTCTGACTCGACCTTTCTCCCCGATCATCCTATATTCCTCGATTCACCCATGTTGGCTCTTTGATTCCTGTTTGAATGTTGACTAGCCACACGTTCCCTTGCTTCTGTGTAATAATGCCGGACTGTACCGGTGAATGAGGCAATATAGCCTTCGTAGACTAGGATCCACTATGCGCAAAGGACTGGGATTAGACACAAGGGGCCAGAGTATCAAAATCCAAAATCCCGGGCAGACGTGTTTGGTCGTACAGGATCAAGCTGTAATTTTCATACCAATATCGAAATCGGGGAATGCTCTCTTCTCTTTCTATGCGCATACGTGACAACATTCCCAGGTCACGAGTAAGAGACCGTTAGACGTTGGAAGCAAGTTGAGGATCCGTCATATTAACATATCGGGACTAGGGGCCATCCTTGACTTTCCCACAGTTCTTCTCTTCTTTTCCCCCTTCCCCCCGTATATCCATCTCCACTCCCGACCCATCTTCCCTTCTACATACTCTTTCCTACACTCTTCTCTCTACACTTTATCACTTTCACACTCCCACTACCCCTTCCACTCCACTCTCCTACTTTACTCTAATTTTTCATCCCCCTTGATATTCTATACTATTCTTCGCGTGCAGATCTTCAGATCTTCCATCTTCTCGTAAGTTTCTCTTTTTCCCATGGCCCCTATCAACTTGATATCTGTGCTACGCCCTTCACCCCTGCAGAGAGGATAAGATCTGACACGGTCCACTCTTTGTTCCCACTTTCCCTAATTTTTCCTTCTTCCCAACTTCTTCCCTCATTTGATGTTCGCGACACCCGCGCACATTGGATGATCTCCCATATCTGCCCACCCGTATTTTGAGATTTTCGCCCCCCTCGTGTATCTCCTCCTACATACCACCCATTGAACGTGTTTGTTCAAGGGATCCTTGAACTAACCCGCCACAGCTCATATATCCCCTTCACGCGTTCAATCCGTGGATGACTAAAGGTCACACTCGATGACCACCCCCAACTCTCCGGAGGCTGTGGCCGATTCGGCCAACAGCTCCGCCACCACGTATGGCACGCGATCGAGAGGTCGCAATGCGCCGCGGCCCAACTATGCCGAGGATCGTGACCTAGATGTGGACATGGATGCCTCCGCGCCAAAGGCCAAGCGCAACAGCCTGGCACTCACTAATATTGTCAACGGCTCCAATCCCGATGAGAAGACCTCGCTGGCGCAACCACGCAAGAGTCTGACCAATGGCAACGGCGCAAATGGATCGGTAAAAGATGCCATTCCCGGCACTTCATCATTCTCCGCCAGGCCCGATGATGTGAATGGTTCTAATCTGAGAAAACGCAAACAACCCGCCAGCACCCCAAATTCAAACTCGGCTGCCAAGAAGATTTTCACTGAACCCCCTGGTGATTCTGATGGGGACTACTTCACCAATATGATGAGCTTTGAAAACTCTGGACCCTATCTCAAGGATGGTCAATTAATAGCTGATGATGGCACCACTCTCGGTCTTAATGGTTTGTTTTCATCTCCCTCCTACGGCTTCGCAAAATTAACCATCGCTAGACCATGTTTATTTAATTTGTGAACCGCCGGGTGAACCATATTATTTGGCTCGAATTATGGAGTTCCTTCCATCCAAAACTAAGCCAGACGGTTTCATTGAGGCATTGAGAGTCAACTGGTACTATCGCCCACGGGACATCCAGCGCCATTCTCCTGACACTCGCTTTGTTTTTGCGTCAATGCACTCCGACACATGTCCTCTATCCTCGTTGCGAGGAAAGTGTGAGATTCGCCATGTGTCAGAAATCGATGACATCAGTTCTTATAAGAAAGCACGCAACAGCTTTTGGTACGACAAGATGTTTGACCGATATATCCATCGAATGTATGATGTTATTCCGACAAAAGATATTATTAATGTTCCCGGCAATGTCAAGAAGGTCCTGGATGAGCGGTGGAAATTCATTCTCGTTGAGATCGGCAAAGGGAAGGAATTGACAGGCGCCGTCAAGACGTGCAAGCGATGTCGTTTATATGCTGCAAATTCGGAATCCGTCGACTGTGCAGTCTGCCACTCAACATATCACATGTATTGCGTACGGCCCGCATTGACCAAGAAACCCGCTCGAGGCTTTGCGTGGGCTTGTGCCGCCTGCAGCCGCGCTCAGGAACGCAAGCTCGAGGCACGCAATACACCTTTGATTAGTGGGGCTCGACCAGACGGCGAGGATGTGGTCATGGAGGAAGAAGAGGAGGATGACCACCATCATACGAACGGCACTGCGAATGGCAATTCTGACGGCTCTCCCACGGCCGAGGAAGACCCTATGCCCCAGCCTGCGACAGTGGAGCAGATTGCACAGGCGAAAATGTGGCCTTACCGCTACCTGGGTATTCACTGCCGCGTCGAAGATGCCCTTGATTACGACGATCGGATCTACCCCCGTGCAAGCTCACGTTTAGGAACACGACACCAGGCCATGGTCGCAGCTTGGCCAGGACGTGCAATTGAATACGTGAAGCCTCTGGACTTGAAAAAGAAGGCAAAGGCTGCTGGTGCGAAAAAAGATGGGAAATCCGCTGCCCAAGCTGCGCTGGAAGCCGCCAAGCATGAGAGAGCCAACCGACCGAAATGGATTCAAGACGAGCCGACTGGCTATATCCACCGTGGAATGGATGAACCGGTTACAATTAACGAAAAGACTGGAAAGCAAGCGCGTACCGCCGAGCCCCTGTTCAAGATGCCGACTTCCGAGCAGATCCCCGCCCGAGGCGAAGACGATGCCCCAGGATCTCACTTGAGCCAGGAGGAACGCGAGAAATTTATCGACGACTACATGCGCCAAGCCAAGGAACTGGCTCCTGGTATTGGTGTCGAGAAACACAACACCAACTTCCTAGACAAGGCGCTTTCAATTCTCTACGCCGAGAGTTTCAATGTGCAGGCCGCGCTTGTCAAGCTGAAGAAGGTCAACAAGTACAAAGATCTCAAGGAGCCTCATATTCGACCGGATGAACTCAAGCTATTCGAACAGGGTGTCGCCAAGTATGGATCGGAATGGCGCAACATCATGAAGCACGTCAAGACAGTTCCCATTTACCAGATTGTTCGGTTCTATTACATGTGGAAGAAGACCCCCGCGGTCGGCAGATCTGGGGTAGTTATGAGGGGAGACGCGGCAAGAAGGAGGTCCGACGCCACAGTGTCACCTCATCCAAGCTGGTCGACGACGTGGCTGATGATCATGACGATTCTGCCTTCGACTCGGAAAAAGCGGTTGTTCAGAAGCGTGGATTCCACTGCAAGTTCTGCTCTACCCGCAGCTCGCGACAATGGCGCCGTGCGCCCTTGGTTCCCCCGGGCACCACCATTCCCGCCGAACCTTCAAACAAGAAGGACAAGGGCCCTCTACTTACTGTCTCACTCTGTCTCCGCTGCGCTTTACTGTGGCGGAAGTACGGTATCCAATATGAGGACGTTGACGAGGTCGCAAAGAGAATTGCAAACAGCGGCAACAAGTCCTGGCGACGCCGTATCGACGAGGAACTGCTGGCTCAGTTGATTGTCGCCACCGAAACTCCGTTCACTATCAACAGTGTCACAGCAACTACCGCGAATCAGATGGGCATCCCGCTCGACTCGAACCCTCGACTGCTGCAGGAGGGCAAGCTCGATCTGACGAAGAAGAAGGTTCGCCCTGAGAAGGACAGCACCGCAACTTCAACTAGGACGTCAGTTGAGCCTATGCCGAAGAAGAAGGTGGTCCCCGAAAAGCCGGTGGAAGCTCCACCAATTGTCCCCGATCCACCGAAGGCCAAGACGCTACCATGTGCCATCTGCAACCAAGTTGAACCATCCGGCGAGCAACATCTTTCATGTCGCGATTGTCGTCTAACAGTTCATCGCAATTGCTATGGCGTGCGAGATTCGCGCGCTAGCAACAAATGGCTGTGTGACATGTGTTCTAACGACCGCAGCCCCTCGATCTCTACCAACTATGAGTGTGTTCTATGTCCAGTATCTTGGACAGAGCACGACCTTATGGAGACGCCGAAGAACAACGCCCGGAAGAAGACCGAACGCGACAAGGAGAAGGAGCGCATGGAGAAAGAGATGGTCAATGAGGCTATCAAGCTCTACCGTCAGCGGCAGGAGGCCGTAGGCAAACCCGTTGGCCCACGGGAACCTCTAAAGCGCACTGCAGGAAACAACTGGGCCCACGTGCTTTGCACTCTGTGGACCCCGGAGTTGAAGTATGGTGATGCAGAGGAGCTCGAGCCAGCCGAAGGATTCGGATCTATCCCCAAAGACCGTTGGCGCGAGACATGCAAAATCTGCAAGTCCAGCAAGGGCGCTTGTGTCTCCTGTAGCTTTACCGGCTGCAATGGTCACTTCCATGTTGGCTGTGCTTTCCAGGCAAATTACCGGTTCGGCTTTGATGTCACTCCCGTCAAGAGTTCTCGTCGCGACAGCATGCGAGCTATCCGCCTAGGCGATGAAGTTGGCTCAGCAACACCTGTTGTCTATTGCCCGAACCACAGCGTGTCAGGCACTCTGCATGAAATCGGCGAGCAGACTAGCACTGACCAGCTCAATGCGCTCCAGCTGTTCGCTCAGACATACAAACAGGCCGATCTTACTCTCACTGGCACCATTCGCAAAGCGGATTACATGCAGCAGTCTGTTCCAGCACCGCAACACCATGCTCACGGTCATGCTGCAAACCGACGAGCCTCGACAAGCACCGTACCGGTCCCCAAGGATACACCGAAGGCCCAACCGGCTCCGAGTGAGGATGCGCCCGAGGATCCAATGGAAATTGACACAGATAACCACGTTGTTCCGCGACCATCTACTGAGGTTGAGACCAACCGAAAGTGTTTCCGCTGTTCTACCGGATTTAGCCCCAAGTGGTGGACTATTCCAAGACGCCCTGATTACAGACCACCTATGTCCAACGGAACAGGACATCATCATCCGCACCCGGCCTTTGCTGCCAATGGAGACCATAGCGAACCGACCTACGAATGCCACAAGTGCCACCTGAAGAATCCGGCACCGCCCCCTCCGCCTGCACCTGAACCTTCGCCTGTTCCTCGTCCCTCGCCTTACTCTGAGCAACGTCAACAAATGCCATCCCTTCCCCGTATGCCTGGCCATGCATTTGTGCCGCACCCACACCCACACCCACACCCTCCTCCCCCGAGTGGTGTGATTGGGCGACCAATGCCTCCAGCTCACCCGCACAATGGAATCCCTGTATCAGGCTACACCGGGCCATACGAGCGACCCCCGCCTGACAATGGCCTTCGCAACGGCATGTCGTCGTCTCCTTATCCTGTGGCACCTCCACCTCCTCATCACATGAACAACTATCCCCCGCCACCTCATGCCGCAGGACCTCCACCACCACACTATACCAGCGCGGGACCAGGTCCCCCACCGCCTCCTTACCCGGCACACCAGAGCCCATATGGACCCGTACCAGCACGCTCGCCGCATCTCTCACAGCCGCCACCTCGTTCGTACGCGGCCTCCGCGTCTCCTCCGATCGTGCAAGCAACAACGGTTAACCGCTCGCCACAAACCTCACTCAGCGCGCTGAACGGTGGGCCCCCACCTCGCATGTACTCTGTCGACCGCGGTCTAGGAGCCCCGTCCCACTCACCGCCGGTGACTCAAGCCCGTCTCGATCCTCGTGGTCCTACCTCTACCCCTCCCACTCGTCCCGAAGATACACCACCCTCTGTCATGGCGGGACCACCCAGCGCCAGCAGACATGCGGGTGTGAATGGCACAAGCGCAGGAACCGGAGCCAGCGCCAGCCCCTCGCTGAAGAACCTCCTCTCATAGTGACTCCCAACGCATGAAGACCTCGGATTCCCCTTCCAGAGCTCTTTATCAACCTGTATGATAGTACCCTATAACTTTTTCTTTCTCTTCTACTGCATCTGCGTGGCACTTTCAGGAAAAAAAGTCTGCACGGGTTTTGCTCTCTTCTTCCACAAGCTATGTCTTTTTTCTTTTTCTTTTTTTTTTTTTTTCATTTACTGATTCCTCCAGCCAAAACACCCACGGGTGTCCCTCAGCGGGAAATCATCTATTCTCATATCCTGTTTGGTTGTTGTCATATTTCCATTCTATTCCATTCTCTCCATTTATTAGTCCCCTTTCCCTTTGTCTTTGTTTTCGCTTTCCGTCTTTGTCACCGTTATTCCCCGGCGTCTCTCTGATCTTTGATTTTGGCACCTGGGAAAAGTCCGTGGAGTCTATGCTACAGGTGTGGGATAGGAAAGGAGGCTGATTGATATGATGGAAATGCACGGCTTCTATTTTTATTCTTAAATGCATGGAGTACATGGATCTGGCCACTTATGATTATCAGTTTTGTTCTTTGTTTATGGCTAGAGGAATTGATTTGCATCGCTATTGATACTCAGATTTAAATGAGAGGTGTAAAAAGTACATATACTTTGTAAATTGGGTAGCTGTTTGGTGATGTAGTGTATCTACAGCATGCAGAGCCAGTGCCTACATGTACATTCGCTTTCTTCTATATGCAATGATTTGTATTTATATCCTTCCTCCTCCCCCTTCTCTTTTACTTCTTCTTTCCTCCTTCGCATTCTTCATTTTTTTTTCATTTCTCCCTCTCTTTTCATTCCTCCCTCTCGGGTCTTCCTTCATCAAGGACCTAATATACCATCCTCTGAGCCTTGGACATCTCTGTGCTACCACTGGCATCATAAGCACCTACGTTCTGTCCACCAGTGCTGCGCAGAACCAGCATGTTCACGACTTGGGCACAGAGCAGGTATGTACTTGTGGCGCCCTTTCCCGACTTACCTGGAACACTCACAAACGTTAATTACACTAGATGCGGCCCGCACAGGAATCCTTGCTTTTTTCCAACCCTTATTCGCGACGATGTGGATCCATCAGCTCCTACTATGGACGAAGAAAAGAAGTTGGTCGATGAAAGCGGGGTCTTCCGGGTACACCCAACAACACATAGTGCACACCATCAGAATAGAGGCTAAATAAAAGAATCCAGATGGATTACACGTTAAGCGAGAGATAACTATAGCTCATGACATCGACCCTATCACACTTACAGCCATCACCAATCTTTTTGCTTGTAGCCGAAGCCTTTATGTGAGCTTTACAGTATAAAGACACATCATTTTAGGTCGTATAGCTTACACCGGGAACTTGGTCTAGCTGGAATATGGCATTATCATCACCTTCTCTCTTACTAACTTACACTACGTAGGCCTAGCAATTATGGGGCTGCTGACCATGCAGAATTTCCAACGAGACGCCTTATTCATGGAGTCATTTACTTCTATAGATGAACCTTGAACATGTTGGACATTTCCTTCATCTTGCAATCCATATCGATATTTGCTGCCAGGCACGATTTCAGTTCCAGTGGTGTAGATCCTCAACGCAGCGTGCCTAAGGGGTCACTGACTCAATTAAAAGCAAACGGTTTGCTTTGCAGCTAAATGCGCATTCAGAATTGCAAAATGCAACAAGACGGAAAGAAAACCCCGGGTTTCCTGTGCCGATTTACCGCCACGATAGACCTCGGGAGCTGTTGATGACAAATGCCGATTTACATGGATGGGGTCAGCTCATTGAAGATCTCCACCAGATACAAAAAGGTTATAACCTGCAAATATTGAAGAAAGCTATCTGACATTATCCATTCCACCCAAAATGAGCGAGACCATGCGAGCTATTGGTAAGTGGAAGCGGATGAAGACCTTGGAGCTCCGAAGAAGCTCCCCCACCTGATTCCATCATCGCCGAGCATACACCAACATTGAGCCTACATGCCACCCACACGATGCTTACACAATCTCTCAGTTTAAAGTCCCTTCCCTTCTTTTGATTTTCCTTTTTGCATTTCACACAGCCATGTCTCACATCCAAGCTAACCCACCCCAGGCATCAAGGGCGGCAAAGGCCCCGCAACATCCCTCTTTGTCGACCAGATCGCCAAGCCCACACCAGCAGCCGGCCAAGCCATCATCAAGATCCATGCATTCGGTTTGAACCGCATGGACCTTCTGCAGCGGGAGGGTCTGTACCCGCTTCCGCCGCAGGCTCCTGAGACCATGGGTGTGGAGTTCTCCGGAGTGATTGAGAGTTTTGGCCCGGACGGGCATGAGGATTTCAAGGTTGGGGATGCAGTTCTCGGCCTTGCATACGGAGGTATGTTTCAACTACCACCCGGGACCAATGTCTCGGATAGAGGGGAGGGAAGTTCTGATATAGCGATCTGATATTGACAAATTGATAGGTGCGTACGCAGAGTACATTGCCGTCTCGACCAAGATGCTGGTGCACAAGCCGTCGGAGTTGTCATGGGAGCAAGCAGCCGGTGTTCCAGAAGTAAGCATCGAACAAAGGAAGAGAAGAAGCAATATCCACCATCCATGCTAACCAACCCCCAAGACCTGGATCACAGCCTCGCAAGCCCTCTTTTTAATCGGCGAATTCCAATCCGGTCAAACCGTCCTGTGGCACGCAGGCGCCTCGTCAGTCTCCATCTCAGGCATCCAGCTCGCCAAAGCAGAAGGCGCCAAAGCCATCTACGCAACAGCAGGCTCGCAGGAAAAAATCGACTTCCTTGAAAAAGAACTCGGCGTCACAAAAGCCTTCAACTACAAGACCCAAGACTGGGCCGCCGAGATCCAAAAAGAGACCGGCGGCGCGGGCGTTGACTTAACCATCGACTTCATCGGCGCGACCTATTTCCAGGGAAATCTGGACGTGGCCGCGCGTGATAGTCGCATTGTGTTATTGGGCTTGATGGGTGGTGGCAAGTTGCCTGATGGGGTTAATATTGCGCCGTTGCTGTTTAAGCGGGTGCGTATTGAGGGGAGTACCCTGCGCAGTCGGGATGAGGAGTATCAACGGAAACTGCGGGATACCCTTGTCGAGCATGCACTGCCTAAGTTCTGTGATGGGACTTTTAAGATTTTTGTCGAGAAGGTCTTTCCCTTTGAGAAGATTGAGGAGGCGCATAAGTTGCTGGAGAGCAACACTACTAAGGGGAAGATTATTTGTCGGTTTGAGTAGATGTCTATTCTATATCATGGATCTACCTAGGTAGTTGCTATCTACAGCATCTACAGTATCTGCAGCCAAGTGCAGCAAAGTGCAGTAAAGTGGGTCTAGTACTCCGGATATCCACTAATAATCCCTTGTGATGTGTAGGTTTTCCGTCCCACTTAGTCTGCTGAGAGCATTCTGTATAACACGTCATATTTGGAGAGTGACCTCAATAAACTCAGGGTGTTTCAAGTGTCTGAGACGCGACTGTGCCTCTCTTATAGTATACAATATGTAAGGGGATCAACTAGGAAATTTGATCAGCCCTTTACATCAGGGGCAAAACGGAATATTCAGCCGTATACTACCCCATACCTGCAGTAAAGTGTCAAAGTCAAAAGTTGCATATGGCAATCCCTGTATCATTGACATGATTGGAGGGACTGGCACCCTATCAGAGAGAAGTGATCAGCAATTGAACCGTGGACAGCAGCTGCACCTGGCAAGGATGTAATTGTACAACTAGGAATAGGTAAGGTATGATAATCAGAGAGACAAATGTTATAAGTAACTATAAGTGACTACAAGTGACTATAACCTTAGAAGTGATCTAATATATATAGACCGTAGATATGGCTAGACCATTAGGGCCAACTCGGTTAGAGTCGATGAGATCATCCGGATTATCCTTGTTCCGCTTTGGCCCCAATCTTGCCTGCACTTGTCTTTTATATTTTATTCTTTCTTTGTATAATAATTATATCTAGGTGTACCTAGGTAGCTAAAGTGATATTACTGAGTAAATATCAAGACACCCACCTAGGCATTTCCATCTGGGCTGTATCTGCAGGCTCATACCTCCGGTTACAGAATCTGCGCTTACCTAACCCGTGGACCTTCTAGAAAGAAAAAAATGAGAGGCGTCATTTGGGGGCCCACTGACTGCGATCGGAGGCTCTGCTGAAGAAATGAGATGGGAGAAAATGGATAAAAGTGAAGAATAGATGAAAGGAAATTATATTGCGTATCTATGTTCCAACTGTACTTCCATCATCGTAGCAATAGGTGGAAATGAAAGTACTATGTGAGCTAGGCTTAGTACTAAGATTACTTGAGGATCATCCCGTCCCGCCCCAAGGCCTTCTGGAAGGAGGAAAGAAGCCCCTTCCCCGTGTTCGCCCCCCTCCACTCTGTTTTGCCATTTCAACCTCTCCTCCCTCCAGCACATCGCTATTCTCTTTGTTGCTTCTCTTTCATATCTCACCGCTCTAACGGCCATGTCGGACTGACGTCCTGCCGTTGCCGCTGCCTCCCGTCTGCATTTCTTTCAACCTCGGCGCTTCAATTGACCCGGTCCCCTCCATACCCCTTCAGTCCCTCGACGTTCCTCACGTGTCGCTTTCTCTTCCCTCTTCATCCCGGGGAAAAGTGGTTGGATTGCGCGCTCCCTCGATTTGACTGCCTAGTGCGACACAGTCTAGGCTCTGGGGTGTCTCGGATCCTCCAGTCCACAGCGCGACTCGGACTGCTTCGCTGCAGGAAACAACTCCATTGTTCGAGCGCACTGCGAACTTGGTCGACTTTTTGTCATTCCTTCTCCTCCGATCTTCCTGGTGGTCGTTATCTTCAGTCCGGACCTCCGTACCAGCTCGCCGCTCGTTTTTTCGCCCTGGCCGCTTTTGTCAAACGACCTCGTCTCTCCTATATTCCCCCGTCGACACCCTCTTGATCTCGGTCATCTGAGCCTTATGCGAACTTGGATAGGTCCGATCGGCTCGTTTCCTTCCTTTACTCTGATTGACGTCTTATCTGCGGTCTTGTGATTCAGGCGACATTGCCTGATCGGGATTTCGCTTCCCCTTCGATACCATGGTGGATCGCATGGATTGCTCGGGCGTCTATATCGACGACCGAGTGCGGTCGGAGAGATGGGTGCGCAGAAATTCTATCGACGCATCAACTATATCGTCAGCAGGTTCCTTTGTTACTCCAGATGAGCCAGAGGCCCTGCAGACCGATGTGGAGCTGCTGCTGGAAATTTGCAAACAAGGTAGGTCCCGCTGTTGTCTTGCGCTTGAACACCCCTGATTTCCTCTTAGTCTACCTCTGCCAGAACGGAACCACTTTTGCCAACACGTTGGCCGAACTGAGCGACCGTGCAGGCAACGAGTGTAACCCGATTTTCGCCTTTTTCGATGTAGACTTTAGCGGCGAAGAATCAAATTTGGCTCGCCGAAAAGCCAGCCGGGCTTCGTGGATGGACAATGGGCCTCCATCACCCGGTTCCATTCATCGCACATTCACCTTTTCAACCCAATCTGACGAAGCACGTGGACTGTCACTACTATCGGGAATTTCGAACGACATTCAAGTTCAAGAAGGGCCGAAATTGATCATTCCTATTGCTGTGTTGCGACTTCCCAGCCCGGATACGCCTGCCGAAAATGTCGGTCCAACCAGTGACCCGCTGTCGCGTGTGCCTCTCACACTGGAGCATAAACAGATTGCCCGTTGCCTTGATGCTGGTGCAGTAGACGTTTTGACCACTCCGCTTGATCGGTCACGAATCCGAGGACTTGTGGTTCATGCCTATCGCACGCGCAAAACGGCACAGCGAGAGATGTCTGGTTTCCTTGCACGAAGAAAGCTACGAAAGCTTTCATGGGTTGGTGTTAACAATAATGAGCAGCCGTACTCTTACTTGAGAGAGGCTATGGTTTCCAAGCTCATGAAAGGAATTTGCAACCCGGAAGAGGTCATTTCTGAGTTCCAAGAAGGGGAGCTCGACATTAAACTTGACCGTGTGCCTTTTATCAAAGAGCAGCTAGGTAGCTGGAAGTTCTCAGCCCATGAATTCACCGAAGATGAGCTGGTGTTTGGTGCTTGTGAAATCCTACAGCATGCGCTCACTATGCCAGGTCTAGACCATTGGAGGTTAACCCCTGATGAACTGCAAAATTTCCTGCTTGCCTGTCGTGCTGCATACAACTCGTTTGTGCTTTACCACAATTTCCGCCACGCGATTGACGTGCTACAATCCGTCTTTTGCTTCTTATTGCACATCGGTGCCTTGCCGCCATACCGACCGGCTGGCCAAACCCGCGTTCCCGAATCTCCCATCGCCTCCATTTTAGCGCCATTCGACGCTCTCACTCTCTTGATCTCGGCTATTGGCCATGACGTTGGTCACCCGGGTGTCAACAACTTCTTCCTGGTTAAGCTTAACGCCCCTCTCGCACAACTTTACAACGACAACTCTGTTCTCGAAGCATTCCACTGCGCCGCTTTCTCTCAGATCCTCCGCCGACACTGGCCAGCAGCCTTCAAGGATAAATCCTTGCGAAAGCTTCTCATCAGCTCAATTCTGGCGACAGATATGGGTGTCCACCAGAAGTTCATGCAACGGATGGGTTCATTGCAAGAACGATTTTACGAGAATAATAAAAGTGTTGATGGCTGGAAACCACAGGATCTCGACATGTTCAAAACACTTGTTTGTGGATTGTTGATTAAATGTGCCGATATCAGCAATGTCGCTCGGCCGTGGAAGATCGCAGAGAAGTGGACCCAAATCTTGCAGGAAGAATTTGCCAATCAGGGTGATATGGAGAGGGAAGTTGGTATGGAAACTGCGCTCTTCGGTGGACCGCCAGAGTTGGGCAATGTCTACAAGCTGGCCACTGGCCAAATTGGATTCATGTCAATCTTCGCTCTCCCACTCTTCGAGGGCATATCCGACCTTCTGCCTCAATTGGAGTTCACCGCAGAGCATATTCGTCGCAACCAGGCACAGTGGCAGAAACTTTCCAACGATGAACTGAAGAAACAGGGGTTGCCGATTGAGAACCGGGCTGAGATCACTGTTTCGCCTCGTTCCCATAGCCCTGCCGCCGAATCAACCGGTACCGAAAAGCCACGTGCCAATTCAGACGTCAAATCACCTGCGTCATCTACAGATACGGCTTCGGCTTCATACAACGAAAACACTATTGAACCGGTAGTTTCGCCAGATACCGCAGGTCCTCAAATTGAGATCACAGGAACACCCCTCGCGCCGTCTGAATTTCCCTCTCGCAAGTCATCAAGTGCCGTGCCGGACATGTCTTATTTCTCTATTCCAGGTGTTCCAGAGTCGGCTCGCGGATCTGTTGGGACGCAATACTTCAGCCCCCTCCCAGAATCTAATCCTTCTACAGACGATCCAGCTGTGCTCGCAGCCGTTCTGTATGCGAACTCTGCGAATCCCAACACCCCGGCAGGGACAACAGAACGTGATCATGCGTCCGAATCTGCCGATAGACCGAGCAGCTCTCGCCAAGGCTTCATGCACGGCTCTCAACGTCACCACGCGCACCACAGCTCGTCTGCCCGCACAGGCTCCAACCGTAATAGCTGCACCCGGACACAAAGTACCTACAGCAACACAATGACACCGATCTCTCCCGCAACCAACGCCACAAGCTTTTTGGCCGTTGATAGTGGAGATGAAAAGCGGGTTTCCGGGGAAAGTGCGCCACAGAGTGATATTGGAGGACCGGATGATAGTAGTACCCGCCCCAGCACAGCAGACGCCTATCCCGCAAGCATTCCAGAGCATTCAAGTGGCTACAGCCCTGGGCGTAGCTCCGGACTCGGCGCTGGATACTCTCAATCCGAAGATGGCGCCACCAAAGACTTCGCCAGGACTGCAAATGGGCGTAGCCCTGCTCAGTCAACCACTACAGGCGAGAGCATCAAAAATGAAAGTCCGCAAGAAGATCCTCGCGGACACCGCAAGCTCCCTAAACGGCGAAGCAGACTACGCCTTGCTTTCTGGAAACGCCGCAACCATACACCTGAGGTCCGCGGCGAGACCTGATCCTCTATTTTTGTTGCGGTCGGTTGGTGTGTACCTATCACCGACTGCATAATGCTGCCATGGTCTTATGAACATTTCATTCTTGTGATGAACCATGAGACCTCAATGGTTGTTACATGAATTCACGACTCGACAACGGAGAAGCTACTCGGGACTTTCATCTCATGTATCAGCTTGTCGTCTGATATTTGACCTTTCATCTGATAGATTGGCTCTCCCAGTCACGAACACCTACGAAGTCGATGATGCTACTGAACACACTTGGACTTCTCGGACACGAAAGCAAACGCAAAAGCTTACTGAACCGTTTATGGCAACAGACAAGCTGCGCTGCATGTCCATCGCATTTCCTCTCCTCTCACTTCCAAGTCGAGAGTCACGCTTCACTGTGAATTCCACTTGCAAAACCGGGAAAAAAAGAAAAAACAAAAAAGGAAAAAGGAATACCAGCGTATGTACGAATGGATGTGTTAAGCAACCTTTGTTACTCGATCTGATGTTTGCGTCGGGTGTGCCCTGTTGTGTTTCTACCATGAACGTTTGTACCTTCTCTTCACCCTTTCACTTATCTCTTTCTTCTTCTTATTCTTCTCCTTCTCCTTCATCTCTCATTTCTCTATGTCCCTTGTGTCATGCCTGGGGCGGCTCTTTCACGCCATATCTCAGAGTTGGCAACGGAGCCCGGCGGCGTTGAATCTCTTTCAGTTAAGGAGTGGGCTTGGGTTTCTCTTTCTTCTCCATTTTCATCTCGATCTCCGAGGTTCTATTTTTATGATCTTGGGCTGTCTCTGCTTTCCTCTCCTATCTATGTTCGGTCTTACACATGTATCTTGTCTCTCTCTTGTTCTGGCATGGTTTCTTTTTTTTGTAGAATCTGCTTTGCGGGATAATGAATGTTATGTGTATAGTGAGAATCAAAGAATCAAGATTTTGAAACAAGTTTTTCGTTCTATTCTATGTGGTAGTCTACTATGCTTAACTATATTGACCTTATTCCAAGTCAGGCGTCCAATTCAACAATTGTAGTGGAGTGTTGTACCATCCAGAATGTCCCAACCACACCTTTGCAAGTGAGAGATACCAATATCAGGTACCTAGAAGGGGATCCAATATCTACTGTATGCCCGAGATCCTTAGCTCACTTTCATCATCAATTCAACATATATGGGATATCTCCCAATAACGGTAGCATCTAAAAAGTAAAATCTATGTACCATACACAAGACACCAAGTACCAAAACCAGGGGGTAAAAAACACCCCAAATCTCACCTACTGACAATCCTCACAAGCCTTAGCATCCTTACTCTCCTCCTCTTTTATCTTCTCCTTCTGCCCACTCTGCTGGGCCTTCAATGCACGATCCGTATGTCCCAAATCCCGCTCGGGGGCAATAACATTCCGCACGAGGGATTTGAGTGCTTTGACTTCTATAGGTGCGGTAATTAGATATATACATACTCCGAATACTCTTGGTGAACAGATGGGTAATAAACAGAAAAGAAAAGAAACAAAGAACATACCGGGGAATCCCCCATCCCGCTTCCGATCCCATAGAATACTCTCCTGGGTGGTAATATGCCCATCGTCCGATACCGTGCCATGCCATATCGTCACGGTGAAGATGCCTCCGGTCATGGGGACTAGAGCGACCTCGCCTAGGTCTGTGCTGAATGTCGAGAGGAGTTCTTGGGCGAACTATATAGTATTTGTTTGTTAATACATATATATATATATATAAAAACATAGATCCTTGTCTGATGTCACATAAGGATTGGGTGTACTTGTATATCAAAGTACACCACGATAATATTACGAGCCTCACCCGAAGGCAAAAAGGCCAACTCAAACAGGGGACACTGTGATAGGTCGAAGGGAACTTACGTATGCGGCGCGGAGCATCCATCGGCACTGGGTGCAGAATTTGATGGAGATGCGGGGGAGGTGGACGTGTTCCAGGGCGGTTTTCTTGTCTTCGTTTGGCTTGGACTCCATTGTGTTTGAGAAATGGGATGTGGTGAGGTGGTGATGTGATGTTCGGCTTAGGGTGGGGGTTGGAGCCGAGAACTGCAGGTAATATGTTGGGGGCCTGGATATATGAGTATATGAGTATAGGTGAGATGGCTGGTGAGTCTATGGTGGGATGTTTGCCCCAGGTGGTGTGGATGATGTCAGCGGGGATTGCTGATGATTACTGTAGATATCTACTTTGATACACTAGATAGAGGTATGTGGGTGTTTCTATATTTCAGGGACATGCTGAAACAATTACCCTGACACGCGTTCTTAATTTCAGATCAGATGCTACGATGCTACTCGTGTAGAAGGATCATGCAAGGCCAAAACAACGGCTTCGCTCGGATCCAATCTGCTGGGCCCCGAAGCCTCGGCATTTGGGCCAAAGTACTTCGTTTAGTAGAAGATTACATCGGTATTGGATTGGTCATGGATGCGAAGCGAATCTATGATACATGGCAACCGACTCTGCCTTGCCAAAATGAGGCTTTTGAAGGGAACCGTAACAAGGATACAAAGTGAGGAAAAAAGGTAAAAAAAAGGCTTCCAAACACAAGGGGTAATGGTGCGATCCAGAAAAAAAAAGCCGGGGTGCAACAGATGCATCGTCAAGTGCACTGCCTGCATGTCGGGAAAAAGGGGGGACCAAAAGTGTAGAAAAGGCGGACTCGCAGAATCGCAAACTCGCAGACTCGAAGGGGTCCAAATGGCGGCGTGGAAGGTTTCGTGCAGGACCAGCAGACGATTCTTTCAGGCCGACATCTCGCTTGTGTGCGCGATCGCAAAGTTCCGTTCAGGGTCCAGGGGGTAGTCGTGAATGGTCCGAAATTAAGTAGAAGAGAGAAAGGGAAAAGAGCGAGATGTCATGGCGAATATTGGCGTCGTGAGTCCATTACATGACAGTGCAGCAACCGCCCTGCTGCTGGGGAGCGTAGGGGTCCTCGCGCTTGTCGACCTAGAAGGTGTTGTTAGTGAATGCGCGCGTTGAATCCATTGAGCCGAAACCCGGTCGCATACCTGTCCCCATACGGATGGAACCATGAAGTCGCGAGTGTTGTTGCAGTAGCTGATGAGGCTGTTTGGGATGTTAGCGATGGCTTGCGAACCAAGGGCGGGTGAACGGACGAGAGAGCGGCCTCGGAGACCTTGACACGCGGGCGGTCCAAGTCCTCCTTCAGACGGGCATTGAGCTCGGTGAGCCGACGGTATTTGAGGTCGGCGACACTCTGCTTCTTGTTCTTGACATCACCACCGGATCGGAGTTCGTAGGCAGGCATCGTGGGTGGTTGGGGTTGAGGAGACGCGATGTGAGAAAGGGGGAAGAGAGGGGGATTGGATCGGCAGTTCCCAAGGAGGAAGAAATTAGGTCTGGATTTTCAGGGGAACAAAGAAAGTATTCAAAAAGAGGGTGAGGAGTTCAGGGAGAGAATGAGTGACAAAGGGAAGGTTAATCTGGAGAGGGATTTTCTCTTAGGTCCGTGGGCTTCGCCTTTCCTTTACACGTAAAGAAGTACCTGGTACTTCGGATGGGTCGGGGAACACTATTGTGTTACTATTGACGGGGGGATTCTGGGCGGTACCGGGTACTTGACAGGAGATTCGGAATGAGATAGTTCAAATCAGAACAACTACGATGAATAGCAGGAATATAACTAGTACAATATGAAATATGCAAGTAATCAATACTTCCAGGCGTGTATCAACTCGATTCTGATGTCTCTGATCTGACCAACACCTGATTCCTCAGGCCCCAACACGTGATCGCCATCGCTTAACCCGAGTGGGAACAGCGGCGGGTTCCAATTTTCGCTGCTTCACGCACATTGTGAATCTTCCCCTCATTATCGGGTCTTCGCGTGGCAGCATCTCCCATCGCATCTTACTAGCTGCCCGTGTGTGTGTCACTGGGTTGATCTCGACACTTTTCGATAATTTGTCCCCAGGTTTTTCTTTGAAAATTTAATTCCCCAAAGGGGCATCCACCCACCATGCCTCCTCCTCCGCATATCAAACCTGAGAATGTCCTCAAGGTGAGTCGCGACATACGAGCGATGGACGATGGACGGATGCTGATGAATATAATGTGGATAGAGGGCTCAGGAACTTATCGCCGTCGGTCAGGCTCCCGCCGCCTTGACTGTTTTGCACGAACATGTCACCTCCAAGCGGACGCGCAGCAGCCCCATCGCCTCCCTCGAGCCGGTGATGCTCCTGTTTGTTGAGCTCTGTGTCGACCTTCGCAAGGGTAAGGCCGCCAAGGACGGTCTCTACCAGTACAAGAACATCGCCCAGAACACCAACGTCGGCACCATCGAGATCGTCCTCAAGAAGTTCATCGAGCTCGCCGAGCAGAAGGTCACCGAGGCCCAGGCCAAGGCTGATGAGATCCAGTCGTCCCTCGAGTCCGCCGCTCCCTCTAGCAACATCGAGGATCTGGAGGCCATCGAAACCCCCGAGACCATCCTCCTCGCTACCGTCTCTGGCGAGCAGTCCCGCGACCGCACCGACCGCGCCGTCGTGACCCCATGGCTCAAGTTCCTCTGGGAGACTTACCGTACCGTCCTCGAGATCCTGAAGAACAATGCCCGTCTCGAGATTATGTACCAGTCGACTGCCCTCCAGGCCTTCAAGTTCTGCCAGAAGTACACCCGCAAGACCGAATTCCGCCGTCTTTGCGAACTGCTCCGTAACCACGTCCAGAATGCCGCCAAGTACTCTACCCAGATGCACGCCATCAACTTGAGCGACCCCGACACCCTCCAGCGTCACCTAGACACTCGTTTCCAGCAGTTGAACGTGGCCGTTGAGCTCGAGCTCTGGCAGGAAGCCTTCCGCAGTATCGAGGATATTCACACCCTGCTCAACCTGAGCAAGCGCCCCGCTAAGAACATCATGATGGCCAACTACTACGAGAAGCTTGCTCGTATTTTCCTCGTCAGCGAGAACTACCTGTTCCACGCCGCTGCCTACAACCGTTACTATAACCTCCTCCGTCTCTCCTCCGTCGCCCTGGCCAGCGGCCAGAGCTCCAAGAAGGAGAACCCCTCGGTCACCGAGGCTGAGATGACCAAGGCTGCCTCCTTTGTTCTGCTCTCCGCTCTCTCTATCCCCGTCATCAGCACTTCCCGCTCCCGCGGTGCTCTGGTCGACGTGGACGAGGCCCGCAAGAACAAGAACACCCGTCTCACCAACCTGCTCGGCATGGCCACCGCCCCCACCCGTACCGTCCTCTTCCGCGATGCCTTGAACAAGGGTCTGCTCCGCCGTGTCCGCCCCGAGATCCGCGAGCTCTACAACATCCTGGAAGTCGACTTCCACCCTCTCTCGATTTGCAAGAAGATCACCCCCATCCTCAAGCAGATCGGTGCCGACCCCGAGATGGAGAAGTACGTTGTGCCTCTCCAGCAGGTTATCCTGACCCGTTTGTTCCAGCAGCTGTCGCAGGTCTACGAGTCCGTTGAGCTCAAGTTCGTCTACGAGCTTGCTCAGTTCCCCGAGCCTTTCCAGATCACCCCCGCCATGATTGAGAAGTTCATCATGAACGGCTGCAAGAAGGGTGACCTCTCCATTCGCGTTGATCACATTTCTGGCGTCCTCACCTTCGACTCCGACGTCTTTTCCTCTTCCAAGGCCTCCCACGCTGGCAGCGGTGCTGGCTCCGCCGAGAGCGAGGTCCAGCGTCTCCAGAACACCCCTGCCGAGATTGCCCGCTACTCGGTCGCTCGTCTCGCCAAGACTCTCCACGTCACATGTATGTACGTGGATCCTTCATACAACGAGGCTCGTCTTCAGGCCAAGCAGACTGCTCAGGCCCGCGCCCTTGCTGGTGCTGCCCAGGAGCACGAGGAGACTCTGGCTCGTCGCGTCCTCATCGACAAGAAGAAGGAGGCTGCCACCGATGCCCTCCAGAAGAAGCAGCGTGACGAGGAGAACCGCAAGCGTATCCGCACTCAGCAGCTCCAAGATGCCGAGAAGCAGCGCTTGGCTGATGAGCAACGCGACCGTGAGCTCAAGCGCATTAAAGATGAGCAGGACCGCATCCGCCAGGAGGAGCTCAAGAAGCAGCTCGAGGAGCTCAAGACTGGTGTCAAGGGTATTGATGTCAGCGAGATCGATCTCGAGGAGCTTGACGCCAACCGCCTGCGTGCCATGAAGCTCGCTCAGCTCGAGAAGGAGAAGAACGAGCTCAACGACCGCATCCGCACCACCGCCAAGCGTATCGACCACTTGGAGCGTGCCTTCCGTCGCGAGGAGCTGAAGCACATTGCATCCGACTACGAGGCCCAGAAGAAGCTCGATATGGAGCTCTACGAAAAGCAGAAGGCCGAGGCTCTCAAGGAGTCCAAGCAGAAGCACGCCGAGGCTGTTGCCCTCAAGCACCGCCTGGGCCGTCTCGTTCCCCAGTTCAGCAGCTTCCGTAAGGAGGTTTCCGAGAAGCGCCACGAGGAGTTCGAGAAGCGCCGCAAGGCCGCCGAGCGCGAGTTCGAGGCCAAGAAGAAGCAGCGTGTCAAGGAAGTCCAGGAGCGCCGCCGCCGCGAGCGCCAGGAACGCGAGGAGGAGGAGCTCCGTCGCAAGGAGGAGGAAGAGCGTGCTGCCCGCGAGGAGCAGGAGCGCACTGCTCGCGAAGAGGAGCGCCGTCGTGCTCTGGCCGAAGAGAAGGCCAAGCGTGAGGAGGAGCGATCGTTAGTATTCCCACATCCCAAGCCTGTCCCATACCTTCAACCTAACCGTTTTAATAGCAAACTCGACGAGATAGCTTTGAAGCAACAGCAGCGCGAGGCAGAGGCCGAAGCCCGCCGCGCAGCCCGGAGGACCGGTGGTGGATTTGCAGAACCTACCGAGCGAACTGCCCCCCGTCTCAATGTTGCCCCCCGCACTGCAGCTCCCTCCAGCTGGAGAGAGCGCGAAGCTGCCAGGGAGGCCGGTGGTGCTCCCGCCCCGGCCCCCGTCCGCGAGGAGCCCCCTCGCAAGATCGGTGGTGGCTACGTGCCTCCTCACCTGCGCGCCGGTGCCTCCGCTGGCTCTGGCTCCGCCCCTCCCCCTCGTGAGCCCCGCGAGCCTCGCGAAGCCCCCACCGAGCGCTGGGCACCCCGCCATGCTCGCGAGTCTTCTTCCCAGTCTCCCTCTCCTGCTCCCCCTGCCTCAGCCCCCAAGGCTGAAGGCAGCGGCGGCAAGTGGGTCCCGAGATGGAAGCAGCAGCAGTAAACGACCGGCTCCACGAGTAGATAGCAATGACTCTTTCCCTCCCAAAAAGTGTATGGAAGCTCTTTTCTCTTTGGCGCTGTTCTCATGACCTCTTTTCTGCATATTTCCTGTATCATCGGCCCCATGGGGCCCCTTGGTCTGTCGCTTTTGCGTTTCAATGTCAATGTCTTTAATTTATTTCCTCCTTTCTGAATGGATGGATGGCTGATGCCATTTTTGATGCCAATTCCAAGTCACGCTTGTTCCCCTATGTGTTTTAGGTTTCAGGATAGTACCCAGTGTTTCGAGGCTTTGCCTTGGTGATAGATATTCTAGAGTCTGTTAATTTACTATACATTCCCTGCCACATATACATGTGTCTGCGTAGGTCTAGGCTCTGTTTTCCCCACTCAAAAAGAAAGACTACAAAAAAGTTGATTCCCCACTACTCCACGCCTGCATTGCATACATATCTGGGGTGTTCTACCCGTCGGGAACAATCGCCTGAGCATGGTGTCACGTGATTGACGGGCCCTAAGCAGTGGCCAAACTGTGTACACAATGGATGGGTATAACACCACCTCAGGAATGTTCGGAGATCATGATGGGTAAAATCTAGAATAAGATTACTCATTCCTTTACAGCGCCTTTAATCAAGTCATCCTTACCAAGCCCAAAAGTGATAAATGCAAGCTAAACAAGTGAAGATACTCGAACCCCCACCTCATTGTGGCGCATATGGAATATGACTGGCCGACAATCCGGCCAAATACGAAGCTTATTGCATTAAATGCATCCTATGTTTAGATCTGATGGCTGATTTTCTCCCCCTCCATGGAGCAGAGTCAACTGACACAGCCTACAGCCTAACAGTCATGTCACCACGGCATACTTTCACTACCTTCCCACAGCCCGTTTAATCTTCCGATACACCTTAACTTTTCACTCTTCAATCATACTAGACGCAAACCAGAACATACAATATACACAAAAATGCTTCTCCCCAGCGAAGGAAAACCTCTCGACATAGAATATGCAGACCAAATGCGCTCCCACCCCTACGGCACAGCCCTATACAACCCCCAACCGCACAACATCTTCCACCCAGGAATGGTAGGTTACTTCGACAGAGACGGCAACTGGAACCCGATCATCGATCTATCCAAGCAACCAGATCCTACCTCACCTACATCCACGACTACTCTAAAACCCCCACCGACCCTCCCACCCCTCGCAACACCGGAACATCAAACTTGGGGCCCAAAACTAGGCCTAAAAACCCACAGCCACCAAATAAACCTACAAGCAGGCCTGTCCCAGACCCTCCTCGCAATAGCCGGCGCACCAATAAGTCTATCTTCGCATTTCCGCTTCGAAAGCGAGGAATCTAGCGGTGCGGTGCTTGTTACTAGTGCGCCAATTGTACACGAGCGTTTCTACCATGAAACACCGTTTAAGGCATGGGTTGTTGCCAATGCGGGGAGGTTACTTGCTGAACGGGGCGAGTTGAGGGAATGTGCGTTGTGGGTTGTTACTAGTACGTGGGCTGCGGAGGAGGTTGCTGTTAATTGTTGGAGGAATTGTAGGAAGGCTGTTGACGTGGGCTTTCAGGTTGGGGTTGTTGAGGTTGGGGAGGTTGCGCCTACGGGGACTTGGGTTGATTGTGGTGCTGCGGCGGGTTGGTTGAGGGCTAGAGGGGATGATGTGAGTTTCTTTGTAGCTTGTTGTTTGTGCATGGATTGGTTTGTGTCTTGTGCTAATTGCTAGATGTAGAATTCAGGGGGAAGAAGGGTGGTGTTCTTTGGGGGTCTTAGGTTTAAGTATAGGCCTGTTATTGGGGTATGTTTCATTGATGGATTGCTGTGAGGAGCTATACTGACTCTGTATTGATAGGGACTCGGCTCGCAGAATAAACGGAACACATTTCGTGGAGATGATACAGGGAAAGAGACTGTGGCAACCACACTAACATCCGATGATGGCATGGAGTATGATCTTTCTTGTGAAGAGGTTCTTGAAGATAGGACTTTGCGCCCGCGGGAAAACACCGCGGGATCTGGGGATAGTGAGGATTATGATGATCAGGATGATCAGGCGGAGGATGAATCAGACGATGACTGGTGAAGATGAGGAAGATCTAGGCCAAGAACCGATAGAAGTAGAGTGATATAGGGTAGGAATATAGGTTCATAAACTCATTTAGACGACATATTTCTCTCAAGCTCTCAAGGGCCCATATGTATATACGAAGCCCAGAATACTGGACTAACACCGGATGTCCTCAACTCCAAGATAACACGCCGAAGCGCCTTCGCCGACTGACTCGGATCGAGATTCGTCTCCAGCGCCCCAAGAGCCTTATAGAATCTCTCAGCAATATCAACACTGAAGAAATCATCCACACGCCAAAGACTGGCAATTACATGAGGTACCCCAGCCATCTGGAAGCCACCAGCCAGATGCAACCCTTCATCACGGAACTTGGACTTGTTCGACGCACTCTCGCACGCAGAGAGATACACAAGTTGACAATCAAGAAGCCCCTGTTGAAGGAGACATCTTACGTCAAGGGGCTTACACGACCAATCCGTTAGACGGAGCGCACTACGTGCAGGATCATCACCATCGCAGACACCATGGCAGGCGAAGTGGGCGAAGTCAGCTCGTCCGAGGTGGCGTAGGACCACGTTCCGATTGGGACTAAGAAGGACCTTACTCTTCCCGCCTCGGCTGTCAACAATCCCTTGGATGCTGGCTACCTCACGCTCGGCATTGGGTAGGTGTGCGTCCTCTCCCATCTCGGGTGTCGTCTCCATAGAAATCAGGAGCACGCGCTTCTCTGTCCGGCATTGTGGCTCTACCTGAGTAGTGCGTCGCCGGCTGCGTGTATATGCCAGAGCACGGAGACTGTTGGTATAGGATGGTACGGTCCGGTCCATAATGGTGCAGTTGGGCCCCTTCTTCGAAGTGCCTGCGGCGTGGAGGGGGAATGTACCAATCCGACCCGTGGTGATCCACCATGTTCGTGGTAGCTCGCTGTCCGCAGTCGTCTCGCCATTGAACCCAAGATATTGTAGAACTGGCTCCGCAATGGCATCCCACAGCCATTCAAGGACTTCTTCCAGTCGCCGTGTTGCGGCAGGGAGATCACTACTCATGAGACGGAGGGCTTCTGTATACCACTCCTCCCTTTCTGTCATAGATTGTCCCTCTAACATCGGGAGGCGAAGCGAGTCAACCGCTTCGGTAGTCACGATGATAGCATCGCTGCGGCAGAGGCCGTGATTAACAATGATAATGGGTCCTTCCTGTGCGTGCTCGATCAGGTCGGAAGTGTCTCCTGGCAAGCATAGAAACCCTTCTAGCTCTGGATCTTTTCTCGACTCATCCAGAATCTCCTGATATGCCACGGACTCGCAGTATACCTCGTGTTGTTGCACCAGGCTCTCGCCGATATCTCCCGCAAGTGCATTCTTCGTCTGGCGGGCCTTGGCCTTCGAAAGGGGCTTTTGCATCTTTTCCAATTTAACCTGCAAAGCCGGGAAATTCTCAATGCGTTTTCCTTGCAGTGTCAATTGGCTACTCAGCACATGATCCCACATGACGCTGCGGACCTTGTCGAAGAGTTGGAGAGCCTGGGATGGCGGGTCTCCCGCCTCCAGAGAGTATGAGATGGTGAAGCTTGGTAAGGCAACAAAGTTGTCCAAGTTGTTGAGAATATCCTTGCGGTCAAAACTGAGCAGTATAGCTTTAGGCAAGAGCTCAGCCGCTGCACGTATCATGTTGCGAGCTTCTTCTGGCTTCTTGGCCACAACGTGTTGCGCTAAGGCTGCGTAGATATAGAGGCGGACAATGGCAGAGACCTGTAGTGCCTTCATCTTGGGGAGTATCGTCAAGACGGCACTGAGGTACATTTGCCCAAACAAGGAGGTAGCATTGTACCCGGAATCCTCCCAGGTGTCAAGGATAAAGTCGAGAAAGTTGTACATGAATGCATCTTGATGCACACGTTGGCTACTCTCTTGAAGCGGCTTCAGACGTTCAAGATTATCTTTCATTTGCGCTAGCGCAGCGACCTGGTCTTTAACGTCTTTCGTCTGTCGGGCCTTGTATCTCAACACCCGGGCTAGGTTCACAGAGGCTGCCAACTGGAAGGCGTAGCGCGTGCTACCCGAAGAGAGTGCACTCTGGAATTGTTCTTTCGCAAGGTCCAGGTATATTGGCTCTTGATACTCGATATAGGAGAACAGATATGCCCGTCCAAGATGGTTGCACATGTTAGAATAATGATCCGCCGGAAGGTCAAGTTTCCACTCGAGAACTTCAAGTAGAATGCTCTGCGACTGTTTGACGTCGGCTATTTGCTCTGTGAGCTTGTACCGTTCCTGATAAGCAGAGGAGAGATTGGTCGCTCGGCTGACATACTGCAGGGTTTTCTTTGTGGCACCCTGCAAACACTCCTGGTAGCACTCAATAGCTCTGTCAATGTCTCGTTGCTGCTGAGTGACCTCAAATTGCGCCGTGAGTGAGATAGCCAGTCCATGCGTGACCATCAAATTGGCCCTCTTGGCGTTTTCCAGTCCGCTTTCTTCCAAGGCCTTGAGAGAGGATTGATACCCACGGATTGAAGCTGAGAGATCCTCCAACTTCAAGCTGATCTTGAACTTGAAATAGTACGCATTCGCAAGATCATTGTGCATAGAATATGTGGTTTTTCCATCATTGCCAGGTTTCGATAACGCTTCTTCGTACTGTGTGATTGCCTGGTTGAGATCTTCGACCTGATCGCTCGTATGATATCGTGCAAACGAGATCAGTCCGTGGACGTGAAGACATTCGCCCCTTAGAGATTCAGAGATTGTGCTTGAAGAGATGACACGGTCGGCTTCACACTGAGCTTTATCCAGATCATCCTGCTGCCCAAAGGCTTCGTAGCGCAGTAGCAGGCACTGAGAAAGCTTCATTGGATATCTGGCATGCTCCTCCTCGTCTTCGAATGGCAAGTCAACGAGCGTGCGGAACCGTTGGATAGCCTCATCGATGTCTTCCATCTTAGCGCTCCTCCTGAATAGTTCCATAAGCGTTACAGCGTAGGCGTGACAGATCGATTCGCTTGGCTGTGTGCTGGCACGAATGGCCTTGCCCAGAATCTCTGCCGACTCTGTGAGCATCTTGTCCGAGTTGGTGTAGTTGGCGAAGACACGTAGATGGTTCCCAAGAGACTCCATTACCAGCGACGAGTCTGGCTGGATCTTGAGGGCTTCATTCAACATCTCCACGGCAGTATTGCCGTCCTCCGGATTCCCATTCTGCATGAACCGGATCGCATTCACTCGTCCCAGGTCTTGACTGGCGCGGAAGCGGTCTATAGAGCCATGAACGGGTGCCAATCTGGCCTGCCCAAAACAACCAGCAGCGTGCTTCAGGTCATCCGGACTCTGTGTAAGCTCAGAGCGCTCCCAGAAAGCGTATCCAAAATGCCACCATACGGTGCTGAGGGAAGTACGATACTGGGTGGGCCTGAACGCGTTGGTTTCGCTGGCCACGGCTTCTTTCAGCTTGCCCATATACGTGCGCAGCATCTCGGCCTTGTCGCGATGTCCAAATTCGTCCCGTTCCCTGAGCAGTCTCGCCCACCTAAACAAGAAGATAGGTCGCCCTGCTGGTCTCAGGGTAGAGGCCTGTTGGAAACAGTCCTCTGCTTCAGCGAAGTCAGTGGCATCGTGCCGCGTGGCGTATCTTGCCGTGAGCTGGTCGCCCAGGTCGTAGAAGTGTAACGCACGATTAATCTCTTCGAGAGGCCCCAGCTCCACGGCCTTGCGGCAGTAGTAAATCGAGTCGTCGAGTAATTTCCCGACAGAGGGCGTGCCTGAGTGTGTGTGTTGCCACTGAACGAGCAGTGACCTGGCAAAAATGCTGAGCAGCACACCACGATCAGCATTATCAGCATCGAGTGAGACATGGTAGGCAATTAGAGAGCCAAAGACTACCGCTTTTTGCAAGTGGGAAGCTTCTTTGGTCTTGGTCCGAAAGTACCGACCAAGCGATGCTTCACATTGCGTTGCCAGCAGTCCGGGGCGCAAGTTTGGCTCGTGGTCTGTGTAGATCTGGATGAGTCGTTGGACTTCCTCCTCGCTAAATTGAACCAAGAAGCCAGCGCTGCGGCAGTAGTCACCATCATGTATCATAAGATCATTGCGAGGAGAAGAATCAATCAACTCTCGGAGTTGTTGGCGCGGATCCGCAACCGTTGGAGTCTCCGCCACCATAGTGATGATGCGTCCAGAATGCCTGATTATGGTGGGCTTCAAGCAGTGAAGATGGTGAGATATGTCTCCAGGCTGATGAAAAGAGGACATCCAGTCTCACCCTAAAAATAGCCCCAACTCTCGTATAACTTGGGTGATTGCAGGGTGAGACGCAACGGGATCTAAAAGGGAAATATAAGACGACGGGCCATATCACCATCTGACTCCTCCCACCACAGCGGTAAAGTAATCGAAGATTAATCGGCGGCCAATGTTGTAGCTGAAAACATGCCATGGTCGTAAAATGCCACCACCGCGATACAAGCAATGCACCTACCAGCCGCCTACCATGAAGGCTTTTCACGGAAACACTCTCGGTGATCCTACTGGGATTATCATAAATGGTCAAGAATGTATCCGTTAGATCAGTTGGGGCTGTGGAAGAATTTCCCGAGTGGTGGTCACTAAGCATTTCGCCCTGCTTAACCCTGTTCTTTCAGGGTATTTCTTCCCAATATGCTGAGAGAGATAAGCAGTCGCTGACTGTAGTCAGGAGATTAAATAGATTGAACCTCCGGTGGCAATAACGGGAAAAGAACGATGTGGCTTCGAGTCGAAGGTGCGAGTTAGGTTTTGGGTCAAATTAGGGTTAACGTTAGTTGATGTTCATACTTTAACAGCCTGCATCAACGTCTCAGCACGACATCAACTCCTGATTGTACTCAAAAAAGAACACAATGCTAATTCTGACAGAACCCTTTCGAAATGGTCATTCTAGCATGCTGTATCCTATGCGAAGGCGACATCACCCGATCCACAACTTCCTCCCAAAAATATACAAAGTACACTTGTGGCATTCTGTCGGAGGATACTGGATTCTTACTGACAGCATCACATAAAGAGACGCGAGAAGGTGATTACAGTCTCAGAGTCGATAGAAGCGAGATTCTGCGAGCAACTACTGGAGAAAAACAATAACGAAGAGGGACAGAAGTTGCCACTCGTTCAAGTATGAACGGGATAGCAATGGCCTGGGATGCTGTATTTACTCTGTTGCTTTGTGTTGCCCTCTTATCTGGCAACAGTGCAATTGACGATACAAAGAAAATATTCATGTCCTAGCTATCAAACAGAAGAAATGGTATCATAGTTTCGAGCTTATATGCATGTAATCTAAGAAGCTCAGTCTCAATATCAACAAGAGCCAACTCAAGAAATGGTCCGATAAAAAACCAATATGGATATCCGACAAAAGAACAAAAAATAAAGGATAGCAATCTAGATCTTTTGACCTGTATAATAATGAAACGTCCCAGGCATAATCAAGGACCAGGAACATGAGGCTATGCAGCAGCAACTTCAGCATTCGCCCCGAACAGCTTCTCTCGCCACTCTCCACAAACAGCCTCAAAGCCACTGACTACATCCCCGCAGACCTTACCGGCTTCTCGGTCTTTCAGCCGGCGGTCCCATTCACCTCGCTCGATCCACCGCGAGCCTTCTTCGCGGCTCTCTTCTTCCCGCCGGATTTCAGCGACAAGTTCACGCGCAGACCGTAGTCGCCGGGAAGCAGTGGATGTCAACTGTCTTGACTCATAGAGCGTGTCACTTAGACCGCGAAGTGAATGGGTAATATCGGCGGTTTGGGCGATGAGTGCTTGTAGAGAGACTAGCGGATTATGAGCAGATGAAAGTGGAGTAGTTGGTCTGGAGCCGCGGCGGGACTGTTCGGGGAAGGGATATGGGAGGTTTGGCAATAAGCCTTCGTCGATAAGGGGCATGAGAGAGTCGATAGCGTCTTCGGAGAGGAGGGGGAATGGGGAGAACAAGAGTGGGTGGATGAGGGATTGAAGGGTACGGGTTTGATGCGTGAGATGTGATGTGATTGAGGAATGAGCAGTGATGAGTCTTTATATAGATATTAGTTTCCTATACTGACCTTTGGGAGAGTGGATGCCTTACCTCATGGCACTGTTTTCAATGCCGCTCTGCCCGCCGAGGTCTTTTAACGACTCGACTGTCCGCTGAATGACCAAGTCATTCTCACTTCCATTATTCTCTATACCCCGCCGAACAAGGCTTTCAATCTCAGCCATTTGATTCTCCAATGCCGGAGAGATATCCGCAGCCTCGTCTAGATCCGAGTCAGGTCCATAATCTGAACCGTCATATTGTGACTCCTGTCGCCGGTGCTGTCGCAGATGGTTTGCACGATTCTTAGTCCTCCCGGGATGAAGCGAGTCCCTCTCTGGAGATGGAGATGGCGAGCGAGTGCGCATATCATGCACAGATTGCATATATGCATCTTCCATATCACTCTGATCCATCTGCTGTGACCCCGCGCGGCCGTTTTCCTGACCTGACGCATACCCATAGCCGTCATCTTCTTGGTCCCAGGCATCGGCTAGCTCATCTGCCAAATTTCCCAAGCCTCCAACCCCTGCCTCGGCCGCGCCAGAAAAATCCCCGGATCCTCGGTGGGATCCACTCAATGCCGTTGAGTTGTGGCGGGAGGCGATTGGGGATGGAGGAGCAGATAGACGGGGTGTTTGCGGTGAACGAGGGCTTTGAAGTGCAAATCCGTTCATGTTTGACGTCCCGGGCGAGATTGGTGAGTCGTCCATGGCCGATGGATAGCGGTGTGAGAGTTTCAGGGGAGAAGGAGGGAGGGGCATTTTAGCGACTGAAAAGATCTCGTAAGAATCCCAGTTGAAACAAATGTCAACAGTGAGCAACAAGAGCCAAGTTATAAACAAAAAATTCAGGCTAAAGAAAGAAGTGTTGTCTTGGTCGAGCTGCAAGCGCTATGTTGATTCGGATGTCCGTTAGTGTGGTATCTCCGTTCCGAGTCAATGATCCAGATTACAGCGAGGAACAAAGGAGCCAATGAAAATGAATATAAGCACAAAAGACCGAATCGTCAGAACAATTGCATCACCAGGATGCACGAGGGGCACAGTTGTATACGGAGCAATTAACATGGAGATCAATTCACCGAACTGGCGTCGCCGCCCGGCAGAAAATGACGAGGGTATCAAACCCCACATTCCTTCTGCGATAGACATTCCTACATTATCTCAACTACAAGACGCCAAAATGAGCTCTGTAGAGCGCATGTCCCCTCTGGACCTCCTCAAAACAAACCTCACAAACCTCGACCCCCTCACTGAGAACTATGACCTCGGTTTCTACCTTAATTACCTGAATAAGTGGCCGTCACTATTCAGCACGGTGAAAGACCGTGACGCAGGCATTGTAGGCTACAGTATGCTTTACTCTACATCTGACTGCTCAATTTTTACGAGTGAGAATACATTGGCTGACATTTATTCTTCCCACAAGTCATGGGCAAGCTCGAAGAGCAACACCCATCCATGCGAAACTCCGAGCATTACACACCATGGCACGGTCACATCACCGTGCTGACCGTTGCACCCGCCTGGCGCCGTCTCGGATTTGCGCGCCGCTTGACCGAGCAACTAGAGCGCGGATCGGACAGCAATGATGCATGGTTCGTCGATCTATACGTTCGCGCCGGAAATAAGGTAGCGTGCAATATGTACAAAGACATGGGGTGAGTGAGATATTGAATAATCTTGGAAAGAGACACAATTACTGACGAATGTGAATCAAAATCAGATACTCTGTCTTCCGGCGTGTGGTGAATTACTATAGCGATGATCCGTCAGGGTTGTCAGATACTGGAGAGGATGCGTTCGACATGCGGAAACCATGCAGTCGAGACAAGAAGCTTGAGCATGTGCGGGAAAATGGGGAGGAATTCCGGGTTGGGCCGGAAGATGTTATGTAGCGACGATACCTTATACTAATACGTTTCTTGTTATACGCCTCTCAGCTTTAATATGGCATCGGACATCCATCCTAATTTGGGTTTTAAACTTCTACATAACCATTTGTACGTCAATATTATTAGGGTTCTTAGACCGGACTGCAAGGTTCATGTCATAAAGAATTAGATTTTAATAGGAAATAGATTGTTCCCGGTTCGCCCATGCAGCATGGCTACGCGCCGTGTTTCCCACCACTCCATAAGATGCAGAAAAAAGGTTCTTCCGGAGGTTAATGCAGTATGCAAAGCTTTTCGGGGATCCACCAAACACAATGCCAGTGGATTCTGTCATGATGCTATAATACTCAGATCATATTGAGGGAAACCCTGTGTATCCAGAGTTCATTTGATTTGAGTGATAATGTTGAAGGTTGCGCAGCCCGCCATTCTGTAGCAAAGCAAGTCACCTCCGTGGTGTGATCCGTAGGAGAGGAAATGCGTTTTGCGGGATTTCGAGATATATGGTGCCGCAATTTTGATCTAGGTTTTGAAACGAAGATTGGGACCCGAGCGCAAGAACCGTACGGTTGTAAAGAGGCATGCAGACGTGGTCAGACAGCAAGCTGTAAAGAGTTGCACTCCGAGATACTCGTTTGTGTCGCTCAGGATTGCACCGCCAATGGGTGTACCGATCAGCAGACCGATGGAAGTCACAGCAAAGACCATGCCCATGCGTGTGCCTAAATTGCGAACGTCGGAAGTCATGGCAGCCATCACGACAGGGGGCAGAGACACAAAGCCCCCAGAGAAGAAGCCGTAGAACACGGTCAGAATGATGATGCCAGGCACAGTGTGGACACGAATCCAGACGAAAGCAAGAATAGCGGTGATGGTCACTGCGGGGGTGAGCATGTTCAGAGGCCCAACGTGGTCAGCGAGGAAATTGGGGCCTATACGGCCGCACGTCGAGGCAGCGTTCAGCATGGACAGGAGATAGAATCCCAGATTCGAGTCGACAATCCCAGTCTGAATTGCGTACGACTGCACGTAGAAAAGGAAGTTATAAAATCCCAGGAAGCCCATAAACATGGCAACAGCAAATATGGTAAATGCGGGTTCTTTAAAGGAAGAAAGCTGCCAAAGCTTGCGCTTCTCCTTTGGCTGGAACCGTGCACGCATAATGCTAACGGAAATGCAAATCGTTCCGAAGCAGACAAATCCCAGAGCCCGGGTGGCCCAGGCAAAGCCGACCTTCTTTTGCAACTGGTCAAACATGATCGGGTAGACAACACCACCGATACTGCTGCCACTGGCAGCCAGACCATTAGCCAGACCTTTCTTCTTTCGGAAGTACTGCGGCAGGATAGCAACGGATGGAACGAAAAGACAGCCTGCTGCTAGACCGACACAGACACCTTGAGAAAGGATCAGCTGCCAATATTTGGTGGCCAGACTGGTCATCATCAAGCCAAATGGTAGAAGAAAAGCGGCAAAGCTTATGAGGGCTCGGAAGTAGCCTGCATCGAACAGCGGGCCTGTAATGACTCCGATCATCATCAACAGGAACGATTGCAGCGATCCAATCCAGGCAATGGTGGATGACGAAGTACCAACGAGCAGTTCCTGCTCATAATATGTTTGATATGCACCCCAGGTATTGATGACGCCCCTGTTCATTAAGTTTGGTCAGCTAGATGCACTCTATATAGTTTTCGTGGAGAAATACCATGAGTTGAAGAAGAGGAAGAACGAGCCCAGTACTTGTAGCCATGTCTTGAGCCCCGTATCATACGTTAGGTCAGGCTCAGGCTCTTTCTCTGCCACAGAATCAGATGTTTTGGGAGAGGTCACAATGCCGTCATGTTGAGCGGCGGAAGTTTCAGTGAAGACCTTCTGCTCTAGATCCAGATTATTGGATCCCATACTCAGTGTTTTGCGCTTGACAGGTCAATCCGAGGTCTGTCTCAAAGGTAAGAGTCGAGAGTGGATAAAGTGGGCGACGAGACAGAGTTAAAGAGCCCGCCACAAACCGCAATGATGCAAGACACTGGTCTCACGAGGCCATGGAAAGCCTTTGTGAAAAAAAAATCCTCGGAGTTGATTATAAACCCCGAACCAAGCGGGGCTCACCAGGGCCAAGCTGCCCTGGGGGCGGAAGGAGCCGAATGGAAGCGCCCTTCAGGCAGCGGCCTAGGGCCCACTGGGTCCTTGTCCATGGTGGAGAGGGCTTTCCACCTGTCTGCTGGTGGAAATCGAGAGATGATCCAATGATGAACCGTGGTCTTCGTGCCGGTTATCCAGGCGAACCGACCAAGATCAGATTAGTGCGTCTGTGACCCCAAATAACAGGGATGTTAGTGGACCATTGTGCATTCTGATACTTCCCCAATGCCTTAGGGATGGGAAAATGGAGTTGATTTCCTGACTCCAATATGGAGAGGTGAAGAATCTCGAGTGCGTCAGGATTCTACTTTCGGCAAATGATTGACCGACTCGGCACGTGGTCTGAACTACATGCATCAGAGAAATGAAGAAAGCGTCATATTATTTCTGGATATCTTTTTTGGTCTTTCTTAATGTGCAGAGGCCTTCTGTCCATGCATCCAAGACATTCAAAGCTCTTTTTTTGACAGTTTCTTCGAATCCCAGAACTCCAAACGCTATGCTGAAACCCAAAGAAAAGGAAAAGATGGTAAACAGCCACCGTGTGAATGATTGGCACTTGTGAGGCACCTACAGAAGCTCCTCGCAAGTCCAGTCCTCGTACCTGAAGCCAAGTATTGTTAGATATAGCCAACCACTCATGTGTCACAGGGGTATCCTTACCATCCATCGGGCAAGTATCGGCGCACGATCAGGGGAATCTTCTTCTGGTTCAACTCCTTCATGGCAATCTGGAGGGGATCGGTTTCACCCTCAAGATCAACGAGAACGGGAGCGTTCATACTAGAGAGATGTCAGCAAATCCATCTTGTCTCCGGTCCATTTCCGCAATGCTTCATATAGCTGTCAACGCACCTGATCTGTAAGGCACGGGTGCCGAGGACGCGCGCACGCTCGTACTTGGTCAAGTACGGGGTGGTTGTGCGCTGGTCATTTGGCACCTTCTTCTCGCGCGACTGTTCCATCACCTTCCCAGTGTACCCGGCATTGGGGTCGCCCGAAACAACGACATTCTCGCCATTGACGGCAGGGTTGTAGATATCGCCTTCGCCTTCCTCCCCCTCGAGGCCCTCCTGATCGGCCAAGTCCTCGGGCTCCAACTCCTCGAACACATCCTCACCGGGCTCATAGTCATAGCTGCGCAAACAATCAGATTAGCAACACTGCTTGTGGCGATTCATGCGAACACAATTTATTGGTGCTCGGAGGTGAGACAGAACCCGAGCTCTTTTGCGCCAGGGTCTGATCAACCTCATGATGTGGGAGGTAGCTCTTACGGTTCGGCGTCGTTTTCACCGTAGTCAGACATGATGGCTGGTAGGCTGAATGAGCGAAATATGCGTAAACCGTAGAGAGCGAGAAAAGAACCGGATGGTGAGAAGCGACTCGGAGATCGAAGTGGGATTGGTGCTTGTAAAATCCTTGGAGCGGAAAAACTTCCTCTCGCGTTCGCCGTCACCGCCTTTTTGGCAAAATAAAATTATTGGGACGTTCACGTCAGATCTTCCATTTCCTGCATGGGAATTCCTTTTTCTCAATCGTCTTCTCAGGGGCCTCTCATTATGGCCCAGAAAAGGAAGGCCTCGTCGCAAGGAGCGTCGACTTCCAAGCGTTTTCAGAAGGAAACAATCCTGGACACCTCTGGTATGCTTCATTTCTAGATAAGGATAAAGAAACCGAATCGCTGATCATTCAACAGACCCGATATATGAGGAGTATCATTCTGATGCTGAGTACTCAGCCCCAGGCACTCCAAGTGCTATGAGCCAAGACTTGAACGAAACCCCTGCCACTCCATACTCAACTACGTCGTCCCGCTATCCGTCCGAGCTCAAAACCCACCGTTGCCCGTTTGGAGGATGCGACAAAGCTTTCAATCGTCCAGCTCGTCTCCAGGAACATATTCGATCACACAACAATGAAAGACTGTTCCAGTGCACGTTCGAGGGTTGTGACAAGACATTTCTGCGCACTTCTCATCTCAACCACCACGTCAAAAGTGCCCATACTGGTGTCCGAGACTACGTTTGTGGCCGACCAGGGTGCGGTAAAAGCTTCGTGACAGGGTCACGACTCCGCCGACATGAAGCTGCACACGACGGAAGAGACAAGTTCCGCTGCACTGAGTATCCGCCCTGTAACGAGACATTTCGAAAGCACACGACGCTCCAGAAACATGTCACGACCGTTCATTTAAAGCAGAAACCATACCCCTGTACCCGCACAGATCCAGTAACCAACCAAAGATGTCAGATGGCCTTTGATACCGCTGGAAATCTGCGAGCCCACGAAAGCAGGGTCCATGCCGAAAAGCGATTTACTTGCGCAGAATGTTCTGAAAACCTACCAGATCAATCGTCAGACATGAACCGTACCGACAACATTCCGAGCCAAGACGTGACATTCCCCACTTATGCCCTTCTACAGGATCACATTCGGATTGTTCACCCTCCCAAATGTCCTCATTGTCCAATCGTGTGCTCCACATCACGAGAGCTCCGACGCCATCTCGAGGTTGCTCACGGAGATGTCAGTCTTGAGGAACGTAAAGTGTTCCTTTGCACTTACTCCGGCTGTGATCGCAGCTTCACCAAGCAAGGCAACCTGACTGTCCATATTCGCACCGTCCATGAAGGCGAAAAACGGTTCGTCTGCGGCGAAACGGACCTCTCATCCTCCAAAAAGGTCGCAGGTTGGGATGCCATTGGTTGTGGAAACCGTTACGGCAGCAAACTTGCACTCGAAGAGCACATACGCACTGCTCACATGGGACTCCAGAATGCCAAGGCAGAGCGGCGTCAACGACTGGGACTGAGCAAGAAACCCTCGCATAGCTCCATCTCTACATTAGCCGCCCTCACAGGCCAGGGTTATGTGGAGGAAACAGGTCGACACATTGCCTGCTTCTACGATCAGTGCCCTCATCGTTTCCATCGCGACTACGATCTCTGGGTGCACATGACCAGCAAACATGGCTGCTCCGAAGACGAGGTGCAGGGATTGTTCATGCAACGTGCCTTGCTTGCTGATGACTCCGGCCCTGGAGGCAACTCACTGGGCATGTATGGTCTTGGCCTTGACCAGGAGGGCCAGTCCTTTTTCCAAGAAAACTATACTGCAGGCGACCATTCCTCGGATATGGCTTTCGGCTCACAGTCGAATGACTCGAACTACCTTCCCGGCCAGCAAGGTGTGAATACCGATTATTTGATGCAAGATGGCTTTTCAGCGGGTGCAAGCGGGGAGATTGATTCTATGATATCTGGCCATAGCGACATAGCTATGATTGACCCTGTTCTTGCTTATAATTTGATCGAGCAGTGAACCAGGTCATATTTACGAACTGTTACGATTATCTAGCGGCATTGGCAAAATACATCTTTATGTTTCATTTTTAACTTTTATATGGGTCTGCTTCATAGAGCGCTACGATTGAGCGCTTCTTCCAAGATATGAAATATGAAAAGTAGACGATATAGTTTAAGTTGTGATACTGATTGACTTCAGTACTCACTATTGAACCCGGCCATTCCCTCCAAATCACGGTCCGTGAACTCCCCGCGTCATCCTTCAACATGTCCACTGGTCCCCACGGAATGTGTCTGTCTTGTTCTGGAGAGGCGGATTCCTCGGACCAGAACGTGACCATTCTCACTTTCCTTCTATATCAGAGTCTGCAGAGGACCCCAAGCAATAGCGCTGTCATTTCTTGACCAAAGTGAGTAGTCCATAATCAAGAGTCGCACCAAATCCCGATTCCGCTTGACCCTGTTCTAAGCTTCCTCTGGATCTTCCTCGTACTTCTTGATATCCTCGGCCAATGACCGGAAGACCGGCTGCTCTACAGGGTCAACAGGCAATTCCATTCCAGCAAAGCGTTTGCGAAATTCCAATCAAGCGCGGGGTTTGCCATTATCGCATTGATTCGATCGAGTGGCCGTAGTATAAAATCAAGAAACTTGTCACACTAGATATACTAGCCATCTCTTTCTCAGGTATTGTGATTGCAATCCAACTGACTAGAGCCTTGCAGGTACCTGCATGGCCACTGCCTTACCTCGCAATTATACAACTCCCGACTTAAACAATCTCACTGTTGCTCTTTTCCGAGCACCACCGGCTAATTGGCCTTTACCGCTGATGAACAAAATTTGGACCAGAGTGGAGTTTGATCTCAACAGAACAGTGGCCAAGGGTGTTGATCTCATCACAGCCACAGAATGGGGCAAACTTGGTGGTGTGTCAGTCTGAGAGTTGATTACTGCCTCGGAAAAAACATTAGAGGCATGCACAGAAATACAACTCTCCTATACTTTGATCTGGAGTATCCATGGATGGAGGTACCAAGATAAGCATAAATTGCGGTTACCAAAGAAAGACAACTAAACTAGGCCTAGTTTACTGTCCCAAAAAAGGTTTAGGGCGAAAACAACCCTGCAAACCCATCTGATCAGATTGGGCATCAGGGATCTTCTCCAGGTGTCTCACATGGCATGGATGATCTCTAATTGCCTCGATCTACGCCAAGACACCAAGTCCGCGGTCTGTGAACGAAAATTGTGGCTGGGACTGGGGATACCCTAATGCAGGAGCGCAAAAAAAGGCCCGTGTGTCGCCTAGAGCTATTGGGGGCAAATGCCGAGCCCAAGAAGAGAGTGTGAATTATTGGAAGTACAAAAGACGCTATGGTTCGTGGGTTGCCAATGTATGCGAAAGCAGGAGATTCGGACCTTAGCGGTGAAGCTCGGCCAATATGAGTACGCGTTCGAAGCCCGGGGGAAGGCCAAGTTTTGCTTTGGGCCACGCCATGGTGGATCCGCAGGAAGCAACGCAACGTGGAACATTGGGGAGACTTTGAGCTGTGGCAATCAGCCACTAACCCAAAGTGTAGCGAAATGAGGCACATTGTTCGCCCCGGCCGTGGTCATCTATCTGGGTCAAGCGCCCATTTTAGCTGGCATGTGGCGCAAATTTAAAGCGACGCCATGACCAGAATGAGCCATAACGAGGAAATCACGTTATGTTAGGGAAAAGGAGAGAATCAGGGGGGTCAAAGGGGAAACAATGTTGCCTTATATATGATAGAGTCGAATAGTGGATGGACCGTA